AAATGAAGAGAGGAATATCACGTTACTTTTGTGAGAGGGTTAATTATGTCTTTTGTTCCTTTTATTTTTTTTTCCAAAATTTTAGGGTTTTGGAGGGTAGTCCGTGAAGTCTATGTAGCAAAGTAAGGGTATTTGTGCTATATTGCCGTGCGACATGGAAGTCGCACGTGTGCCATGAAAAAGGCCTAAGCTCACAGTTCATTACGAGAAATCTGGCTGCGAAAACGTGAATTCTCCCGCAGTGTTGTTTCTTCCAGGTTTCGGCGTTGGCTCGTTTCACTACGAGAAGCAGCTCAAAGATTTAGGGAGGGAATACAGAGTATGGGCTATTGATTTTCTCGGACAAGGTCTGTCCTTGCCGAGGGAAGATCCAACTCTTGTCTCCGAGGGAAAGAAGGAAGAGTTTTGGGGATTCGGTGATGAAGCTGAGACCTGGGCAAGCCAGCTCGTTTACTCGCTAGATCTATGGAAGGATCAAGTTCGGTATTTCGTAGAAGAGGTAAAACAGTCACATTTATCTTACTTCCGAACTAGAGCTAGGGGTGGGCACTCATCGGGTATTTGGTAAACTTAGAGTATCCAAATTCGTATTTGAAACCCTCGATATCATATTTATATACCCGGATTTTCTCTCGCTGAGGTCGGGTACCTAAACTACGAGAGCCTGATAAAATGGTGAGAATTCCCACGACCACGAGTATCAGGGTACAACTTTGCCCATTTCGAAAATTCATCTAAATACAGTACATATGTATGAAATTCTAATACCAATTGAGAAAGATTCATAAAGATTTAAATTTATTCGGGTTCCCGCGATACCCGTTAATATATATCTATTAACTAGACTCGTATACATAAAAATTACTCATCCCACACTTGCATTAACCCGGGTACCCGAAAACTGGGTATCCGTTGCCGGGTATCTGTGGGTATCCGATTTTCGACTATTTATCCCCATCTATCAGAACCCGTTGAGAGTTGCTGATGTGTGTTGTAGGTTATTGGCGAACCCGTGTATATAGCAGGCAACTCACTTGGAGGGTATGTAGCTCTTTACTTTGCGGCGAGCTATCCACATTTGGTAAGGGGAGTGACATTGCTTAACGCCACTCCTTTCTGGGGTTTCCTTCCTAACCCCGAAAGGTCTCCTGTTCTATCTCGTCTCTTTCCATGGTCTGGAACATTTCCTCTGCCTTCAAGAGTGAAAATGCTCACAGAATTTCTGTAAGATCTTTTTATCCGTCAATGTTCGTTTCAGATGGGGACTGTCATTAGTTTGATGATGGTTTTACTCTCATTTCCCTGCTGGATTTCAGGTGGCAGAAGATAAGTGATCCCAAAAGCATAGCGGAAATACTCAGACAGGTTTATGCTGACCATTCTACGGATGTTGATAAAGTGTTCTCTCATATAGTTGAGATCACTCGCCATCCCGCTGCTGCTGCCTCGCTTGCTTCCATTATGTGTGCTCCTGCCGGACAGCTTTCTTTCGCCGATGCTTTATCTATGTAAGAAGAAAAGGCTCAATCCCTCCTGTCTCGTTCTTCTCTCTGCAAAATCGTTCTTGCCGTTTTTTACTGAAGAAACGCTTGTTTGATTGTTGTCTCAAAAGGTGTAAAAAAAACAAAGTTCCCATCTGTCTCATGTATGGAAGAGAAGATCCGTGGGTGAAACCGATATGGGGACTAAGGATAAAGTGGCAAATACCCAACGCTCCTTACTATGTGATCAGCCCCGCCGGTCACTGCCCTCACGACGAAGTCCCTGAGGTACGAGAATATAACTTCGAGCTTTTACTACATGAACTTTTGCTGGTTCTGCATTGTCATATGGGATGAGCACGAGACTGTTTTTCGATTTTTGGGTATTTATAGTCATCTGAAAAACTTATCCTTTGTATTGGATTTCGAGCAGGTCGTAAACTATCTGCTTCGCGGGTGGATCCAGCACCTGGAATCGGGTGGTTCTTCGTCGCTACCGCATCTGGAAGACGAAGATTCTGAATCAAGCATTGCCCGAGAACTCGAATTTCCTAGAGACGGTTCCAAGAAATCGGTGAATCTACGGTTGTACGGATCTAAGTATTCGCTATGGAGACAGGTTGGTTCGTACTTGAGATCCAATTTGAGTTTGGTGCTAAAGAAGTCTGCCCAGGACAAAAGCACATGTTAACTGTTGTCCGAAACCAACAAAGTTAGATGTAAATTATCTTGTATATTCAAAATGCCTTATTCTTCGTGTAAGTTTATATAAAGCATTGTATTATTCTTTTACCACTTTTTCACGTCAAGCGTACCATTCTGCATCTCATAATTATAACAAAAATAATAATTTTACAAAATTAAATTCAGTAGAAGAAAAAAAAAAGTGTAGAAGAGGGGATATTACAATTCTCCTAAAAATAAAATGAATCTAATTACACACAATAACTTCTCGATAGGATTTTGGTACGGGATACATATAATAAAATTATGAAAGGATCACAATTAAAAATATTAACATCTTTTAAAAAAATCGTAACTTTTTTTTGCATTTAAAATATCGTAATTAAAATGTCTAAAATGTAGAATGATATTTAACGATTATTATTTTCGGATCGTCTAACATTTCGTATATTTATGTATATTGCTCGAGTTCTTTTGTAGTGGAAAAGATCGTGTTGTTTTCCCCCCTCGACTTCCATCTCGGTGTCGGAATAATGAGATGATGAGGTCTATATCCAGAACGTTTCCGTCGGTGAAGCTCCGCAATCCCAACCCTAACCCACAAAAATTCCCCAAATCCCAGGATTTGCCGACCCAAATCTCGTCATCTTCCTCTTCGCCGAGGAGCCCAAATTCGAAATCCGCAATAAAGTCAAGATCTTGGTGTGTTTATCTGATTCTGTCTACGAACAAACCCATCAAAACTTATGTCGGCGTCACAACCGATTTCTCTCGCCGGTTCGTCATGTTTTCATGCTCTCCGATCGTTAATAACGATAGATTTCGGTAGTTTGTGAGGTTGTATGATCTGGGTTCGGATCAATTTCTGAAATTTTTCGCTACATATCCGGGGTTAGATATATGTATGTGTTGATTTGTTGATGCTGAAAGTAATTTTTCATAGAGCTTTCTTTTCTGTTTCTCTCTGTTGAAATTCCCACGTGGGCCTGAGCTCTGGATGACTGATTCCGTGGAATCAGTCCCTTGATGTCCTTAATGGAAGTTTAGGGTTTGAACAGAACATAAGTTAGTTTCGTGTTAGAACAACCTTAATCATCGAACCGAAGTTATTCTTTCATTGATGTTGAGATCTCTGAGCTCTCCAACGAGAATTGAAGAACTGGGATTTTCGCTATCGTGGTTTTGGAGGTGAAATATGGCATCATTCATAGATTGGATATCTAAAGCGAGTGTTCTTTGTGCAGATTGAAGCAGCACAATGGCGAAATCAGAGGCGGTGCAAAAGCTTCATGTGCAGGAAGACCCTGGCTTTGTGCCTGCATTGTCCATGGTTTCAATGGCCAAAGCGAAGGTGGGTTGATCGTGAAATATCGTCTTTCTTCTTCCATCAATATTAATCCCACTCGCAGTTGATCATTCTTGAACCGAAAACACAACAAATGAATGACTTCTCTTTGCATTTGGAATCTGAATATAATCATATATGCAATATGGCTATCGCTTCCATGATATTTCATTTCAGCTTCTTCCTTTGAATCAAATTGGAAGAGCATCTCAAGAAAGTTGCCTCGGAAACAGAAGAACAGGGACACGTTGGAGCAGAGCGATGATGGTTCACATGCCTTGCTACAGCACCGGAAAACAGCCCTGGATAAAGCCATGGAAGCATTACAATGGCAGCACTTAGAAATCGACTGGAAACCGATCCCAAGGTAACAGCTTCAAGCCTTCAACTAACTGAATCGGTTTACAGAACCTACATTGTGCTTAAGCGTACAAACAAAAAGTGTATATATATTCTTTACACAATACCATTCATATGTATCCTGGTTTTATCATGGAGACAGTTCTTTAACACATGAAAGCGGTCTCGGGTTTTCGTTTCTTGTTTTTCCGTATCAACTTCACAGAGAGATACGATATGACTGCACCGCATATGAGTGTTAACCTTTCGATTGTTCCATCCCTTTGAGAGATAAGTTCCACCAGCCATGTGCGCATCCCAACAGATTTGGTACCAACAGATCTCATGAACTAATCAGATCTCTCGCCCCCCTTTTACTTTGAATCATATGGGCATAATCGATCAAATTGAACATGTAAGATTACGTCCCTGGATGTTAGTGTCGAAAAAGTCCAAATCTGTTACCCGTCCGAATCCATCCGTAAAATTTACGGGTTCGGACTTAAAAGCTCGAAAAGAGGAAGAACCATTGCAGTAGAAAACGCGGTTATGAATATTATCTATTCACAATTTGAGCATATGGAGAAATATTTTTGCTTGACCATGACTTGTTAAAGGATATGTGAATCTTAACTAACTTACCACATTTAAGATAAATGGATAGAGGAGGCATGGTCGGGTCACTGCCATGGGAGGAAGATGATAATAAACGAAAGTTATGGGGTCACTTTTAAAGATAGTTGAACACTGGTCCATTCCATAGATACATGTAGTATGGACAAAACTTTCAAGCTATGATGTAATACTATCATCAATAAAAAAAAAAAAAGGAGCAATATATTGTTTAATTTAATTTGTAAAAGTTTTTCACTCCTATGATCATATAACGTGGATGGGATTTCTTGTTTCACAATAAATCTATTTTCATAATTACATTACTGTTTGTTAGTAAATTCCTCTTACCAATTTATTTTGTATAACAAAGAGAGGAGGAAGAGTATTTGTTTGTGCAAATGTTAGAAAAAAAAACAAAAATCAAATAGGTTGCAGTAAAGACAAATGACATTTTTTTTTCACTCAAAATGAGGGTATTAGGTTAAGATATTCTCAGATTCAACTTTAAAAAGCAACCCGCCATTTTTTTTTGTATATGATTAACTTTCTATGAAATTTATTTAAGTTAATTTCAAAATTATATTTTATTGATTTGAAAAAACAAATTTTATTTAAATTAAATAATGTATGATTTGGTTGGAATGGGTTAGCTATATATGAACGTTCTTTTAACGCCACTATATGTAAATAATAATTCAACCAGAAAAAAAAGGTCTACGCTACAAACAAAACAAAGTTGAAATAAGTCTATAAACGCATCAAATCTCATGACCCAATGACCCATGATGATTAGTGGGCACCAACCTTTCACACACGTAATAACACAGTCCTCTCCGTTGAAATCACAAAGAACGATTCGATCATCTTTTCCACCATGATTCCATCGCAAGAAGCCTCTTGATTCATATATTCTCACACCCAATTCCTAAATTTCACAGCTTTTCACGTAATTGTGTTGAATTCCCGACAGAAAAAAACCCGGGAGAATTCTCCGATGAGGTACCTCTCTTGCAAAGCAGAGACTGCCGTCGCCGTCGCCACCGCATCCGGTGGCGGGAAAAATATATCTTCCGCGAACTCCGGTGGCAAGCAAGAGAAGCCCGTGAAGATCCGACAGTTCGATTACAGCGACCTTGAAGCCGCCACCAATGGCTTCTCCGCCCAGAAGCTCCTCGGCAAAGGAAGCCATGGAAGCGTCTACAAAGCCGTCGTGAGAGGACGCAGAGTCGCCGTGAAGAAACCTTCTAAGGGTCAGGAACTGAGCCAAGAAGTCAACAACGAGATCGAGATTCTGTCCAAAATTCACAGCCCCAGGTTGGTTAATCTCCTAGGGTTTACCGATGATTCCCACGATCGTTTGATGGTGGTTGAGTTCATGAGCAATGGTACTCTCTATGATGTTCTTCATGCGAATCCTAGTTCTAGTTCTAGGGCTTTGAATTGGGGAAGAAGAATCAGAATGGCTCTGCAAGTAGCCAAGGCTGTTGAGATCCTGCATTCTCAGAAGCCACCCATTATCCATAGAGACATCAAGTCTGCGAATGTGTTGATCGATAGGAATTACAATGCGAGGTTAGGCGATTTCGGGTTGGCTCTTAGGTGTAGCGTTGATGACTATAGGCTTAGATCAACTCCTCCAGCAGGTACTATTGGCTACCTCGATCCGAATTATGTGACCCCTGATAATCTGAGTACAAAAACCGATGTTTTCAGCTTTGGGATTCTGTTGTTGGAGATCATCAGCGGAAGAAAAGCGATCGATATCGGGCATTCCCCACCTTCTATCGTGGATTGGGCGATTCCTCTTGTGAAGAAAGGCAAGATTCTCTCGATATATGATCCGAGAACCGCGCCCCCTAAGGACCCTTTGGTCAGAAAACAATTGGCTGCCATTGCTGCAAAGTGTGTGAGGTCGTGCAGGGAGAGGCGGCCCTCGATGAAGGAGATGGTGAATTGGTTAACCGGGTTGAGCAAATTGGTTCCGCTTCATTCTTGGAACATCAACAACCCATGTCTGATGGTCGAGACGATGGGAAGACCGGTTGAGTACAGAAGATCACAAGAGGGGTCTCATCGGGGAGAACATGATCCCAAAGGAACATTTAGTAGAGACGTGATGAGGGATTCTCGGAAAGTCTGTTCTGATCTAGGCATTAGGAGTAACTTGATGGAGCTAATGGCTGAAACTGAAGCCGAGTCTCAAATCTGGGAAGAAGATAGCAGTGCTCGTAGAAGAGGAAGGAATCAATCCCGTTCAGAACTGTTTACAGAGAAAGCTCTGTCTTAGTGTCTGATTCTTCCAAAAAAGCTCGGAGTTATACAAGTAAGGCCACTTTCTATTTTATCTGCGGTGTGAAAACGTTTGTACATTCTGAGATTTTTCTTGAACTGAATCAGTCATTGCTCATATTCACAAGGTGAAAAGAAGAGAAACCTGGAAATCTTTCAGTTCATCTGTAGAGTTTGTGTTGATTGTTTCAAGGGTTTTGATTGAGATTTTTAGATTCTTCGGTTGCTGAATCCAATCGATTTAGGAGAGAATTGAGAAAATGCGAGATGAGATATGAAACTTGAGGCTGAAGGAAAATGTCTAATGTTAGCTGATAGTGTTATTATGAAAAGCAACAAGTCTGGGCCTACACAGTTGTTGAATCAAATCAAGAATGGTGAGGGCAGATGATGTTTCAATGAAAATCCCTTCAAATAAAAGCTACGAATGAATTCCACCGAAGAAAAATGAATTTTAAAAACCATGTAAAAAAAAAGTAAATAATATCACTTTTTTCACCAAAAGTAACATCACTTTTATTTTCATTCTCTGCCTCTTCCCACTTTGGTTTTAAATATATAAAAAAATATAAAATTAACGAAAAAACAAAAAGCAAAAAAAAAAAAGTATGGGGGAAGACAGAGAGCTGGGTTCGGAAAAAGATGGTACAGAATCTATGTCTCTCCCCTTTGGTGAAAGAATTATATTTTTGTATACATTCGGCTTCTAGGCGATCAAGAACACGAAAACATCTTGCTTATTTCTTTGGTTAAAGAATTAATATTATTTATTTTTATTACAACTAGGACGTAGTTTCCGGGCCTTTTGGCCCAGTAGGCCCAGGTCCAGGTGGTTGGGCGTTCTTATGTTTGTCCATGTTTGGACTGATGAGACCATGCATGCTCATTTACCATCGCCCAGTTCTTGGGCCTCGGATATGGGCTGGTTCCAACAGAGAAAATTGGAAGGAAAATAAATTAAATATAATTTTAAAGCATATGATGCTTGCAGATAATTGCCAAATAGTTTTTTTTTCCTTCACAAATTTCATAAGAAATAGATAATGTCGGCTAGTGAGAGTGAATACTAGAATTTCGCTAGGTATTAAAAATAATAAAATATTCAAATTTAGAAATTTCCTAAAGTTTAAATTGAATCAATATTGGATAAATATTCTCCATAGAAGACCAATATTTTACTTATCAAATACAAATGTATTTAATGCAGAGGAAAATATTCAAATCACAAACCGAATATACCACGGGACGAAGATCAAATTTGAATATCTAGGCAAAAATCAAAGAGCATGCCAATTTTTACATTACCATAAAAATGAAAATTACGAGTTTAGGTAATTTTGAAGGAAAGAGGACCCACAAGTGGACCCCAAATAGACAGAGAAACCATCCAAATGTGGCAAAAGGGACTTCATGCAATGCAAAAAGAGCACAGAGAACAGAGCCCATGCAACACACGACACACCACTTCGCCGTTTCCTTCTCTCGTTTTTTTCCTATTTTGTTTTTCCAAATCTTTCTGAAAGAAAATGAAAAAAAAAAAATTTGGTCCAAATTTAGCAACCTTGGTCTTCCTATTATAGATTCCCACCTTTTGTATCCAAGGTCAAAAAAGGGTAAAACCCCAACTAGGGGAAGGTGAGAGAAGATAAAAAGGGGTTCAGGGGTCTGAGCAAAGCTTTTCCTGCGATTCTTTGTTTGTTTGTTTGTTTGTTTTTTCTTTGAGAAATTGGGCATTCGAATTTGCCGAAAATCGAAGATGGGTCGGGGCAAAATCGAGATAAAGAGGATCGAGAACGCGAATAACAGGCAAGTCACGTTCTCGAAGAGACGTGCTGGGTTGCTGAAGAAGGCTCATGAACTCGCCGTTCTTTGCGATGCCGAGGTTGCTGTCATCGTCTTCTCGAATTCCGGCAAGCTCTTCGAGTTCGCCAGTTCTGGGTATAACAACAATGTCCTGACTCGTGATTTCTGTTTCACTCTGGTTTTTTTTGTCTGTTTTTTTGTTGTTGTTGTGTAGTTGCATTTGTTGCTGGGTGGTTTCTAAATTTGTCCAATGTGTTGATTTGTTTATTGCAGTGGGACCTTCTTCTGGCGCTCTTTTTGTTGTTTATGCAGAAATTTCTCATGTGGGTTTAAAATAATTTGGGAATTTTGTTTCTTCCGGATAAAAAGTTTACTGTAGTTCTTCGAATGTTGGAAGTTGTTGTTCTAAGTGAGATTGTGTTGGGAATTAGTTCTTGCATGCTGGTTTAGATCATTCCATTTTTTTGAATTTATGATGAGCTCAAGAGTATTGCAGGCTCATGCCCTGTTCTCTGTTGACAAAATGTGTCCACATGAACTGTTATGTTCATCTTCTTGCATCGTTTAATGAGTTGTCTGAGATTCAATGAGCTCGTTCCCTTGTCTGATATCTGTCCATTTCCAAGATTCCACTACCCTGGAAACCGTATAGATGATTGCGTAGAGAATTGAAGCAACAAAGAGCTTACCTTTGTCATCTTCTACGTGTTCTTGCCACTTGTTTTCCATGAAACGAAGTTGACTGTTTTGAGATGTCTCACTTTCGGTTTCGATTTGTTACAGTATGAAGAAAATACTTTCGAGATACGACAAGTCCCAGAACCCTTTGGATCCTCCTCTGATTGAGTGCAAAGCCGAGGTGATGATGGAGTCTCTTGCTAGAGTTGTGTTTTGAGAGAATGCTAAGATTCTTGTTTTTGCTCATTTGATTTTAGATTCCTACATTGTGTTTCAGAACCATGACAGCTTCTTAGATTTATATGTTCATTTGATGAATCAATCCAATGTGTTTCGTGGAAGCAGGACGGTTCTGCAGAGGTTGACCATCTGAAGGATGAAATCTCCACTCTTCGGGAGAAACAATCGTACAAAACAAATCCGATTCAATCCTATTCGGTTGTTCATTTCTAAGGTTTTTCTTTCCTAAGCATTTGTCTTTTGGATTCTTCCAGACAGCTGCTGGGTAAAGGCTTGAATGGTTTGAGCTTGAAAGATCTGCAACGCCTTGAAGAGCAACTCAACGATGCGTTTTTATCTGTCCGAGGGAGAAAGGTTACCGAACGAATGCTTATTCCTTCCCCGTTGTTTCCGAGTTTCTTTACAAAAATACATTTGATTTGCCTGACAAAAGTTACGTGACTCAAGGAACAACTATTGATGGAACAAGTTGAAGAATCACGGCTGAAGGTACGACTAATATCCTAACGCTGCCTTTGGTCGTCTTTGTAATGCTGTAGAGCACATTCAAACCATGGATTCTACAAAGCCAGGACTCTTCCCTCTTTCGTGATACAGTTCTGACATGATCCTTTTAAAATGCCAGATGTTTTTACTGCTCTGAGATATAAAGATTCTTTCACTTGTTGCTAATGAAGAGGAACCCGAAACCTCCAATTTTCTTCACCTTATGCATAGAATTGCTTTTTTGCAGGAACAACGAGCAGTGCTGGAAAACGAAACCTTGCGTAGACAGGTTACGTAAAAACCATTCTTACATCTAATTTTCCTGCCTGAATTCGAGCTATCAGCCCAAGACATGAATTCTTTTTTCTTTTCCTTTACTGACTTAACTCCTGTCTTTCGAAACAGGTAGAAGAACTCCAAGGCATTCTCCCCTCGGCTAACCATCACTACATGCCTTCGTCCTACATCGAGTGCCGCCATCCCATAGAAATCAAAAACTCTCAAATAAAGCACACCGGCTTGGACGGGTTTGATTGCATGGCGCTTAAGGCAGATTCAGACACCACCTTGCAACTAGGGTTATTGTTCTAACACCCTCTTTCATTGTTCTGTCCCGTTAGAGTTTAGAAACCCATTTCATCTCGTGTAGAACTCTTTTAGCAGTATTTGGAATGTGAATGTATACACTATACGTTGCTCCAAAAATGGATACATGTAATCTATATGTATCGGTGTTTCGCACAGGTTGCCGGGAGAAGCAGAGGAGCGGAAAAGGAAGGAACCGAAGAGAGGGAGCCCTTCCCCTTCGGGCGGCTCGATGGCTAAAAGCACAGCCAGGACATGTATACAGAGGATTAGTCTAGTTCAGTGATATTTACTTCATGAAGGTGCAAAATGGATAGAGAAAGGTGAAAGAGAGGGAGTGGTTGCTTGGGTAGGAAGTATTCAATCAATTTCAGGGAGAGATGGAGGAGGGTGACAAGAAGATTCTGTTTGTATGGTATCATTTATGGATGATATGAGATTTTAAGGGGAAAAATCAGCATCACCATTCACATCATTGTTTTGAAGGGAATGTTGGGATTCCATATGGTGGGTTGGATTAATTTGGAGAGTTACCAGATTAATTATTACAATTTAAAAAACGGAAATCTCTGAAAGTTACCGCTGTCATAATGAAAGATTCACGAACACTGTGATATACAAAATTACACTCTTCTGTACACCGATACATATATATATATATATAAGAAATATAAACAAGAAACCCTAATTTTTCATGTTTTTTGGGTGTGATTATGTACACTGCCTGGGATTTCAGGCCATTCTTATTGTACCCAGCAACTGATTTCTTCCGGCGAGTATCCTCGAAAAGATTTCATCCACAACTTGCCCTATTTCTTCGGTCCCTCTCTCCATCTCCTTCACTTTCCTTTTCAATCTCTCTGCAACTTCATCCCCCGACAGCATCCTGTTCCTGTCCGTGATCTCCGCGTTCAAATCTCTCACCTCCTCAATCGCGAATCTCTCCTCGAAGACATCAAGATTCAGATTTCTCAGCAAAGATCCCAAGAACCCAGATGCCAGATTCTTGATTTCCGTGTAAGGTTTCGAGTTCATTACCAGCGCAGACAAAACGACTCCAGCAACCCAGCATCCGATGTTCCTCAGCTCAACCAGGGCCTCATGGATCACAATCTCTTTCCCAGACACGATTCTTCTCGAATCCGATCCGGGTCTGGTCCCACTGTTTCTGAAATTCACATCTGGGATCTTCACTTGAATCGGTTTAAGAGATTCCAACGAGTTCTTGGACGAGTAGAGAGCGTGAGAGAGTTGGAGCTTTGCTTGACCCAGATGAGAAATCGACGAATTCATCAGATTCAGAAGATCGAGCATGTTCAATGTGTAATTCAGATACTCCTCGGCTGAATTCGCCCCCCATTCGCTCATCGGATGCTCTATCTCCATCACCAGCTTCGCGAATGCTCTGTCTGTCACAATCACAAGCTCCAAACACCGTTTGATCCACGAGAAAGATAAGTCTCCCGATCTGGGTTTGGTCTTCAACAACATCTCGATCAAAAAGTTCGAAACTTTCGATCGAAAAGCAGCGAGAGAAGCCGACAACGACGCAGCATCTTCATGATATTTGTGGTGGTGAGGGAAATTCTCCAGCTTGGAACAGAATTTGTTGAACTTCTCAACCAAAAGCACCATTATGAAAGACCACACAAAACAAACTGAAACTTGCTCCCTTCTTGGTAACCCCTGTTTTTCTTGCTCTGTTTTTTTTTGTAGCAGAAACCTGCAAAAAAAAAAAGCTTTGATTTTGTTTGATGGGTTTTGTCGGAAACTGAGCAGGGAAGATGGGTTTTATAAGAGAGAGAGAAACACAAGTTGGGTTTTGTCATCGCGGATGACGATGCTTGAGCTGTACACGAAACACAAAACCACTGGCAAAGCTTCAATACAAAACACATGGTTTCTCTTCTCTCTCTGTGTTTTTCTTCCTTGCCGTCGTTTTGGTTTTTTGAATGGTCAACGCAGCGGACGTCAAAGAGATAATTCATTTATTTATTCAAAAAGCCAACTTTTTTGAGTGTTCACGTCGAACACGCCTCGGGACAAGTGTGTCTCTCACTTATCTTATCCAAGCATTTTAATTATTTAATTTATTACATAAAAAAACTTATGGGTATAATTAATTTGCTTAATTTAATACTGTGACGGTGATGGAGGATTGATTCAGAAGGGAATGTATGTTCGGCCTTTTCTTCATGTAAGTCGTGTTTTATATGTCCCACACAATGCCGTGCGAGGCCTTGGAGAGTGTAAAAAGGTTTAGCCATTCCATTTATTTGATATAAAGTCGAAAATAAAAGCAGTATATATAATTAAACGTGATAGTTTTTGTAGCAAACGGGTAAAGGCCGGACGAACAGTAAGAAATGATTCAATGAAACCGACATTGTTTCATATTATTAATGATAATATTGCCAAAATATGATTCTGCTAACATCAAGTAGAACCACAGTTATAGAAGCCATTGCAAACATATTTCTGTGACCCCGGAGGTTTCGAAATCTATACATACATATATAAACTTGTACGTAATGAAAATGGTTCGAAATCTGCAGGTGCAGTGAAATGGTTTTGAATACTTTGATTAGTTTTCCCCCCACGTCGACTGAATAATGGGACAATGAAGAACCATACAACCCGACAGAACTAAAAACTAAAAACAGTAAATAAAAAAGACCGATTGTTCATAAAGAATCTGTATTCTATGTCGGATCATAAGATGAATCTAAACAACATATGGAGCATTGATGTCAGCTTTCTTCAAGATGGAGTCCAAAGACATGGTTATCAAGATTCCACTCTGTTTCCTATTTAGCAACGGTTAAAAACGGCTTGAACGTTAAAGCCACTCCGATGGCCAAGATCGCGTTCAGGATGAAGAAAATCATTTGCATGCCTGCATCCGAACAACATCACGTTCCTTAGATCTCGAGCCGTGTCGCATAAAACTGTTTATGTTCTAAACCTACCTCGTGATGACGAGGAAAAATAACTGTGGCTTCGGGTGAGAGTTTAGAGTTGAGAAAATCGAATCTATAGAGCTTAAACCAAAGGCCATAAAATGTATTCAGGATCATTCCACAAGTGAGATTTACTCCTAGTGACTAGCAAATATGAATACCATCTGTTCCCAAACCAATTGGACTGATAATAATCCTGCGGAATTGTGTCGTATTTTTAATATGAAGGGATCGAAAACAGAATTCATATCAAGATTTTAGTATGCAAAGATGTGTCATACCCGGAAGGAAAGCAGCATCCTGACGTTTCTCAGCCCATGAAAATCTGCCATTGACATATATATAAAGCATGTTAATATAGCAACAGATAAACTATGGGAATACGAGCAGAATGTAAGATGAAGAATTACAGGGCGCCTGCCGCTGCTGGACCAATTGCTTTAGAAACTGACACCGCTGTCATGGCGAGGCCATTCGCCGCCCCTCTTTGGTGTTGTTTCTGTTGTTTCGCAAATTTTTTGGAGAAAACATGTACTAATGTCAGTTTTCCCCGAATAAAGGCGGCTAAAAGCTCAGACACGGACAGGAAGTACGGCAGATGAAAATGGCAGTTTTCAGAGTAACTTACAACAGCTTGGTTATGAAGAATGTACAAGCCGGTTGTAGCAGACACCTAGGTCAAAAGAAATGCAATCGATTAAGTCCTCAGTCAAACAAAACAGAAAATTCTCCGGTTCAAATATTTTCGATTTCTCTGGATCTTTTGTTGAAGAATTGGATCCACATTGAACATTCCGTGCAGTGTGTGTAACAGATAAGAAAAGATTTTAGGGGCTTACGCCTAAAGCACTCTTAATGATGGATGCGCAGTTTAACACAAGGCTAAGGGTGAAACCAGATAACTTGGCTATAAGTGGGTAAGTTGCGAGGATAGGTATAGCCAGAGCCTACGAACAGGAAAATAAAAACATTAGATTTTCCTGCCTACAAAATCTTAGGATATGTAATAAGAACAGCAGTATATGTTGCCGTTACCGCAGAAAAACGGATCACTTTTGTAGGTCCTAATAGCCTCCCCATGTAAGAGTATAGTGAAAGCTGAAAAACAAGGAGACCAAAACCTAGACAGCAGAACTGTAGGTAAGCACAGTTCTTGCAAATAATTTCATTGGCAAAAATTTGGTGGAGAAGAACGATAAAATAACAGAAGCAGATAAAAGCATGCAAATCTAAGAGTAAACACATGAACAATCGTGCATGTCTTGTTTACCTGAAATTGTAAGAACTGAACCCACATCCGCAGTGGAGTAGCCCAAACCTCCATACTCCCTGGGGCTGTTTGCCCACAAAGAAAATATCTGTACGAGAAACTCACAATTTAATCATACATGATTAATGAATAAAGAGGAGGGACAAGATGATGCAGATAGCTAGTGAAATTATCCACCTCGGTGTAAGACATGTCATGAAGTGCAAAAATACAAGAAATGGTGATAGCTGAGATTAGTGGCCAATTCTTTAACAGAGAACTTTCTTCGTCTCCCTCTGCTTTTCCATCATGTGTTGCCGCTTCCAGAGCTTCAGTAGATTCGTCATGTGATACATCATCAAACTTGTGATTGTGTAATGTTTCCTGGATCCCATGACAAGGGGGCCATTAATTTTTAGCAAAGTATCTTCTCAGGGTCTGGCTGAACATGTTACTACATGCTTTCATGGAGAAAAGCAAGAAATGAATAAGAAATTTGTACTTCTAAGGCAGTAAAGATATATGATCATCAGATATGGACAAGTTAACGTCTTACTGGAATCCAGAAGGAAATTAGCGTCGCCACTAAAGCAAAGAGTGATATTGCCAAGCAGGGTAAGAAGTATGGGAATCTGCATTATGATTTAATTCTTGGTGAGACTATTAATTCATAGATCCAGAAAAAGCAAAGAATTGCTGCTGAAGAACCTATTACTAATCATCATACATGTGAAGAAAAATCTGAATTATGTTACCCTAAAAATTACGTACTTGCCGAAAATTGATTCCTTGGAAAATAAACTGGGATATTTCTCCGCCGGCTGAAGCAGAAGAAGAAAATATCAGAAGCAGTAAAAGAGAGCAGCGACCAGCTAGAACAAACAAGGAGCAACATATATATTGGAACAAGATTGAAATGCTGAGGTCAAGAGTATGAGAAAAAGAACCTGCGCAAGAAAACCTCCGATGGCAGGGCCAATGATCAATGCTACTCCCCATGATGCAGTAACCTGTAGTCAAGTAAGACTCCAAGTATCAAAATATGATGATACTTTAGATGATAAAAAAAGCATAAGCTCGAGAATAAACTTACATTGGACAATGCTAACACATGATATTCATCACGAAATATTTCCATTGCAAAGGCCTGAATTGCACAATATTGAATAAGAAACTCATCTAAAGAGCTGTGAGAAGTGGTAGAGAATAAGGTACCTTTATAGGTCCAAGTACACCATTGAAACTTCCAAGGAAAAACCTTGTGATGATGGCCATCCAAAAATTTGGACTTAGGCCAAAGAGAGTATTGAATATTACCCTGTGATGAATTCAGAAGAGTATACACAATCACACCAAAAAAATACACGAGGAATTATAAAGCAATACAGATACAAGATTGTGAAGCATCTTCAGGATACTAACACTGAACCCGTTCCAAGGAGGATTATAGGTTTTCTACCGTAACGATCAGCCATCACTCCCCAGACAACAGATGTCAATATTCTGCCAACCATAAATGTGCAACCTATAACATACAACCAGGTCAAATTGCAGAAATATGGATGACAAAGATAAAGCGGTAAAAACAGAAACTCACCGACAAATCCAGCATAAAAGCCAATGTCTTCTTCCTTGTCTGTTATTTTAAAATCTTCAATCTAGAAACAGAAAAAAACATACAGAGTATACAGTCGAATTCATGAAAAGGTAAAACACTCTGGGTATGAACGTCAGTTAAGAACCATGTTTATGAAATTTTGTCCTCCACATGAAAATTTGCACATAGAGAAACTGTATCAGTGATGAATATCTGATTAAACATGGCAAAAAAATTCCATTGAGCCAAATAAAAAAAAAAGATTAGAATGCATACTCACCATAAAATAAAGGAATGGGAATAGAGAGGAGACTGGCAGAACTGAAATGAAGAAAACAAGAGAACATAAACAAGAAGTGAAATCACAGTAGAAAATGCACTCAGAATCTTGCTTTATACGCACAGAATCTTCTTCTGATGAGACAACTTAACAGTAAATCATCAGTTAAAGCCAATAATCTTCTCCACAATCTCATTAAAACTCCAACAAATTCGAGGAAATCCAATACCATGACCCATAGTTCTTCCTATTCTATTACATCAATTGAAGAAATCCGAATTCGAATCGAGTGCAGTAGTACCCTGACGAACAATAGCAATGATTCAGACACTTAAAGCACAGCCATTAAGAAACGAAATTAAGCATATACGGAAGAGACTATCCATCACAGATCATGACGAATGTGATTGTCACAAATCGGTTTCAAAAAAAACTGGGATGATTGTAGCAATTTTACCAGTGGAGAGGACGATGATCCAAATGATAAAAAGCTCCCAGAGAGGGAATCCACGGCGGGAGTGCTTCATCTGCTCAACCTTACAACCTGGGCAATTTTCATGGTAGTTCTTCTCCAACAGCGTCTCCATGTACGTTTCCGCCATCTTCACCGAACCCCAAAACCACCACAGATGTCACCTCACCGAATCTCAGGCTGATTCCAAACATACGAATCAAAAAAAAAACACCGTCATTGCACAAAACAAGACGAGAACAATGCATGGCGACAGAAAGAAAAAAAAATCAGGCTGAATCCAAACGAGCAGACACGCCAAAAATTCCGACAGTTAATACACACAAAAAAAGACGAAAGCATTGCGACGGCGAGAAATTAAACCAGAATATCGGGGGGAAAGTTCAACGAATCCAGCAACGAACGAATGTGTTCTCGAGAAAGTGAGCAGAAAATCACCCAGACAGAAAATTTGGCGTACCCTGAATCCCGACCTCTCACTCTATTTATATGCAAAATATGAAAATAGAAGAGACGAAGACGCGGAAGTGATGGGACTGCCATGAGAAGAAGGCTCCACCAGCGGTCTTTGACCTCTCCTTCACGTACTATGGCTGAAGTGATGAATCTGCTATAATTTCTTTCTTTTCTCAGTCAATTTTGTTTTGTTTTTTTTTTTCTATTTGTATTCACTATTCAGTTTGTAGTCAATTTTTTTTAAGAAGGAATCTATCACAAAAAAATTCCTAATTAAAAATGGGTCAAACCCAAAAAAACCTTCTAATTTCTTATTTACACCCAAAAAAAAATCAAATTAAAATTTATCATAAAAAATCATCAACTATTAATTTAGAAAAAAATAATTAACTATACAAATTATTTAAAACCAATATTTTATTTTAATTTTATTATAAAAACTTATCAATTATTAATTATAATAAAAAATTATCAATTATTAAAATATAAAAAATTATATTAATATTTCAGAGATTATAATTGAGTATATTTTATTGTTGTAAATATTATATTTAAAATTTTATTATATGTTATTATTTTAGAGATTATAAATTATCAATTTAAATGTTTTCAAAGATTTATATAATAATTTTGATAAAAAAAAATCATCAACTATTTAAAATTCTGAAAACGCATTCTATTTCAAATATAGAATCCTATAACCAATAAAATATAATCAATTTACAACCTCTCAAATTTTAATATATAATAAAATTTAAATATAATATTTACAATCAATAAAACATACTGAATTTTAAATATAATATTTTTATACAAATTTATTATATAAATATTGATATTTATAAATATTTATGTAAATTTTAAATATTATAATATAATAAATTTAAATACATATTATGTTTTATTGTGATTTTTAAAATTATATAATTTATATATATTTTTTATTTAATTTTTATATATTTATATAATAAATTTAAACAACATATTTTTGAGTAATGTATATAGATGATTAATTTTTTTATTAAAATTAATAGTTGATAATTTTATAACAAATTTAAAGTGAAAGATTGTCTGTAAGAAATTATATAGTTAATGATTTTTTTGTTAAAAATTAATAATTTATGTTTTTGCATGATGAATTTGAAGTAGAAAGTTTTTTTTGTATAAATAGAAAACTTCAAAAAAAAAATTTGAGTTTGTCCCATTAAAAATTTACTAAATAAATTTTCTAATTTCAAAATTACTTCTAAATTAATATCCACACACAAACGGCATAATATCTCCGTTGTATAGTATAATAGTATTGGAGGAGGAGAACAAAAAAGGAGAGCAAATTAATAAAAAAAATGTTTTTTGAAAAAATTTTGGTATAAAAGATCGGTTTATATAAACCGATTTAATCAAATTCGATTTGCTGACTTGTCAATTTTTTTATATGATATCTACGTGTCACTTGTGTATATTATAATACCATGTCATATTTCAAAACGGCAAACTAACGGAGTTTGTTTGTGGGTATTAATTTAGAAATAATTTTGAAATTAGGAAATGTATATAGTGAATTTTTATTTAGAGATTTTTTTGGTAGATTTTCAAGATTTGAGGAATTTTTATGGATTTTTCTTTTTTTTTAAAGTCATACTTAACACATATTCCCATTTGTTTTCTTCTTAATTTTAGTTATTTTTTTTTCTATTTGTATTCAGTTTTTAGTCCATTTCTTTTTACTTTTTAGTGCATACTTATACATTTTTTTGCTTTTATTTACATGGAAATAATTATATATGTCAACTTCTTAATTTTAGTCAATTTCGTTTTTTTTTCTATTTGTATTCAGTTTTCTGTCCATTTCTTTTTAGTGCATACTTAAACATTTCCTTTTGTTTTTATTTGGATGGAAATAGTTGTCTACGTCAACTTCAAAATTGTAACTTGCATAGATATTTTAATCATTAATTTTTTGTAACATTATTATTATTATTACCCGTTAGAATAAATAATTTTTTGCAGTGAATAAAAAATGTTTATTTATTTTTAAAATTTTAGGTTAAAAAATGTTTTGACGGTTTATTTACGCCCATTTTCTCATTGGTAATTTAATTGCAAAAATCAAAAGTCTGTATTCTAATGTATTAATTAGCTTTCATATGATCGATATATATAGAACAATGACCTTATACATGATATAAGTGTGGCTAATTGACAAATGCTGATAGCCTGATGCATATAACAATTATAAATACTATTTAACTTTTTTTTAACACTGTATTAACTTTAAAACTGTAACAAAATTTGAAGATTTTAGCTATCCTATACAGCAGCGAGGCGAGTAGTGTACGGAAAGAGGTTGCATATTTTAATTTATTCGTCGATGGGCCGTCGGTCCATTATACATCGAACCAAATTCGGTATCAAGACCGAAAGTGTCGGCTTTCTTCTTAAAGAATCTGCAATCTTTTTATCACTGCAAGATGGGGTCCAAATAAATATATTAATATATATATATATAGTTATCGAGCTTCGGCTAAAAACGGCTTGAACGTTGAAGCTACTCCAATGGCCAAGACCACGTTCAGCATGAAGAAAATCATTTGTGTGCCTGCAAATGAATATCATCATACCAGGAAACGCATTCAGGTTCATCATTTCCAAAGAGAGGTCTACACCGAACATGAACATCGTACTATTCTTCTGTATTTGGCTGCGAAAACAGAATTCTTCGTACGAAGATTTTACGTGCCATACCTGGGAGGAAAGCGGCATCTCGACGTTTCTCGCTCCACGAAAATCTGCCATTGATGCATTTTATAAGCCATTTTAAACAGAGAAACTAATGCAGAAGGGGATAAGTCACGTACAGGACTCCTGCCGCAGATGGGCCAACTGCTTGAAACAGTGACATTGCCGTCATGGCGATGCCATTCGCCACCCCTCTCTGGCGTTGTTTCTGTCGTTCAGCAAAAATGTCCCATTTCAGTTTTCTTCAGAAACAGAAGCAGCTAATTAATCTGCGTATGGGTTGGACAGTAATGGACGACGGATGAAATTACTTACCACCGCTTGGTTTTGAAGAATGAGCAATCCTGTGATAGCACACACCTACATGAAGAGAAAATGCCACAATATTTTCGATTTCTCTGGAACCAGAATCTTTGGATTTGAAAAAGATTATCGAGAGGGGAAAACCAGAATTTAGATCCACATATCGCACATTCCGTGCTCGGTGGCAACAGATAAGTAAAGATTTTCGGGACTTACACTTAACACATTCTTAGCGACAGATGCACAATTTAACACCAGGCTAAGGGTGAAACCAGATAGCTTGGCTATAAGTGGGTAACATGAGAGAAGGGGTATCGCCAGAGCCTACAGAACAGGAAGACACATCGTAGCCTTAGACATTTCTTGGTCACAAAATCATAGGATTTTCAATGAGAACATTCAATAATGTTATGACTAAAGGACTTACCCCGGCAAGACGGGTGACTTTGATAGTTCCTAAACACCTCTCCACGTAAGAGTATAAAGAAATCTGAAAGACAAGGAGACCAAAACCTAGAAAGCAGAAATGTAACTCAGCACAGTTCTTGCAGATAATTTCATCGGCAAAATCTAGTTGGAGAAGAATTATACAAAAAACAGAAGCCGGGGAAATCATGTAAATTTAAAAGAGTAAACATATAAAATGATCATGCTAGTCCTTTTCACCTGAAATTGAAAGAACTGAACCCACTTGTGTAGTGGAGTAGCCCAAACCTCCATAACTCCTGGGACTGTTTGCCCACAAAGAAAACACCTGCTGGAGAAACTCACATATTAGCCGTACATGATTAAAGAACAAAAGTAGAAGGACAGGGTGATGCAAATATATAATGAAATAATCTACCTCTGTGTAACCCATGTCATGAAGTGAAAAAATACAATAAACGATGATGGACGAGATTAGTGGCCAATTCTTTAAGAGAGAACTTCCTTCGTCTCCCTCTGCCTTTCCATCAGAGCCAGCAGGGTCATGAGTTGCCGCTTCCAGAGTTTCATTAGATTCATCATGTGATGCATCATCAAACTTGTGATTATGTAATGTTTCCTGGATATGGGAGAGAATGACAAGAGGCCATTAATCATGGAGAAAAATAAGAATTGAGAAAGCCCTTTGTACATTCAAGGCAGGAAAAGATATACAAAAAATCAGATATGGACAAATCAATAGCTTACCGGAATCCGGAAGAAAATTATTGTCACCCCTAAAGCAAAGAGTGATATTACAAAGCATGGCAAGAAGTACGGGAATCTGCATTATGATTTTAACTATGCTGAGACAATTGTTTCAGAGATGCAGAAAGCGCAAAACGTTTAAACTGCAGAACCTGCTATAAATTATACAAGTGAAGAAAAAAGAGAACTTAGTTACACTAAAATTCACGTACTTGCCAAAAATTGATTCCTTGGGAAATATGCCCGGATATTTCTCCGCTGGCTGAATACAACAACAACAACAACAACATGGCCTCATTCCCAAGTGGCTGAATAAGGGGGGAAAATATAAGAAACAGTAAAAGAGAGCGAGAAAAAAGAGGGGGAAAGCATATATTGTAACAAGATTGAAATGCTCCTGTCAAGAGTATGAGAAAGAGCACCTGTGCAAGGAAACCTCCCAAGGCAGGGCCAATGATCAATCCAATGCCCCATGATGTGCTAACCTGCAGTCAGATATGAGAATTATATTGCTGCAAATATAACCTGCAGGGCCATGATGTGCTAATATGATGACACTTGAGATTAAAAAAAAAAACATAACCTCGAGAAAAAAACCTTACAGCTGAGAGTGCTAACGCTTGATATTCGTCAGGAAATATTTCCATTGCGTAGGCCTGAAGTGCACAATAGCTGTGAGAAGTTTGTGATGTGTACGGAATATGAATAAGTGGCAGAGAATAACGTACCTTAATAGGTCCAAGTAAACCACTGAAACTTCCAAGGCAAAATCTTGTGATGATGGCCATCCAAAAATTTAAACTTAGGCCAAACAGTGAATTGAGTATCACCCTGTGATGAATTTAAGAGAGTTATATGCTGCAAATACACATTGTCTCATACCAAAACAAACCAGCTAACAGAGTACTACTATAGAAATACAGATGCAAGATTGGAAAGCAACTCTGGAATACTAACACTGAGCCCGTTGCTAGGAGGATTACAGGTTTTCTACCATAACGATCAGCCACCATCCCCCAGGCGACAGATGTCAATGCTCTGCCAAGCATAAACGAGCAACCTTTAACGTACAACCAGGTCAATTAGCAGATGGAAAACCGAAAGTAACAGAAATAAGGATGACAAAAGATAACGTGGTAAAACGTTTACTAAAATCTGAAACTCACCTACAAATCCAGAATAATAGCCAATGTCTTCTTCCTTTTCAGCTATTTTAAGATCACGAATCTAGAAACAGAAAAAAGCATACCAATTCCACAGTTGAGTTCATGTTAAGAAAAGAAAAATGTTCTTCCGACCGTGAGTTGGTCATGAAAATTAGCACATGAGAGGCAGTACCAGTGATGAATATCTGGTTAAACAGATCACAAAAGACCAGAGAACCAAGAAAGATTAGATTCCATACTCACCATAAAATAAAGGAATGGGAACAGAGAGGAGATGGGCAGAGCTGAAATTATGAAACCAAGAGATCGCAAGTTAAAATGCACTCATAATCTTGCTTTTGACACAAGAATAACAGTAAATTATCACTTTAAGCCAATGATCTTCTCCACAATATCATTACAACTCCAACAAATTCGTGAAAATCAAATACCATGACCCACAATTCTTCCTATCTATTCCATCAACTGAACAAAACCCAATTCGAACTGAGTATAGCAGTGCCCAGATGAACAATAGCAATGATTCGCACTTAATCCCGCTTAAACAACAGAGCCATACAAACAAATGGAATTAAGTATAAAGAGAAGACACTATCCATCACAAATCATGACTGAATGCGATTGTCGCGAATGGGTTTCAGAAAACTGGGATGATTGTAGCAATTTACCAGTGCAGAGGACGATGATCCAAATGGTACAAAGCTCACGGAGAGGGAATCCTCGACGGAGCTGCTTCATCTGATCAACCTTACAGCCTGGGCAATTTTCATGGTAGTTCTTCTTCAACAGCGTCTCCATGTGCTCTTCCGCCATTTTCACCGAGCTCCAAAACCGCCACAAATATCACCTCGCCGAATCTCAGGCTGAATCCAAACATACGAATAAAAAAAAACAGAACAAAAAACTGGCCATCACTACACAAAAAAAAAAACGAGGATATTGCCATGGCGATAGAAAAAATCAGAAAATATCAGACTGAATCCAAACAAGCGCACAGGGAGAGAATTCAGACAGTGGATGGAAAATTAAAACAGACGCAAACATTGCGATGACAAGAAAATCAACCAGAATCTCGGGGAAACAAGTTCGACGAACAAATGTGTTTCTCGAGAAAGCGAGAGATGAAAATTGCCCGGACAGAAAATTTCTCATGCCTCGAATTCCAACCCCTCTCTTTATATATTACGGAAAACATGAAGATGGGTAAGATAAGGACGCCATTACCAAAAAAGAAGAGTGATGAAACCGCCATGAAAGGAATCTCCTTTCAGTACTGTATCTGTTTTTGGCCAACCCCTTTTTTTCCATTTTGATACGCATCAATACATCATTTCATTTTGTTTTATCCTTTTCTTTGAGTAAATTTGATCAAATATAATTAAACAAAAAAGAATCTTTGCAACTTAACTTTTTAATCTTACCTATGTGCATTAATAAATTGTCTAAAAATAATATAATTTTGCTATGTCTCATCAAAATACTTTATTTTAGAATTTTAACAAAATGGAAAAATTAGCATCACATCTCATGTCTCTCGTACACATCTTTTCCGTACAGAATCCTCCCATGTCTCTCATATCACATGTGGCATGATGTATAGGTTTTAGCCCCTGGACCCACCATCCATTCGATTGCATATGATCATCGAATATAATCAAACTTAACAACATTTAACTGCATCTGAACCAAAATCGAATGCATCCGGTTTTCTTCTTAAAGAATCGGCATGCTTTGTCTCATCACAAGATGAATCCACCGTAAGGGCCCCCTTGATGTCAGCTTTCTTCAACCCTTGGTTTCCTATTTAGCTTCGGCTAAAAACGGCTTGAACGTTGAAGCGACTCCAATGGCCAAGATCACGTTCAGTATGAAGAAAATCATTTGTGTGCCTGCATTTGTATTCAGCTTCGTCATTTCACAGGCAGGGTTTTACACCTATAGTGACTACCAAATATGAACTTCCCTATCTTTCAGAATTATATCCTACTCTTTTCTGTTTTGATTGCGAAAAGGGCTCGGAAAACAGAATTCATATGAAGATTTATGTATGCAAGATGTGTCGTACCCGGAAGGAAAGCGGCATCTTGACGTTTCTCGCTCCACGAAAATCTGCCGTGAATAAATTTTTAAAGCATTTTAAGCAGAGAAACTACGGCAAAACATGAGCAGAATGTAGAACGGGAAAATCACGTACAGGACTCCTGCCGCAGCTGGACCAATCGCTTTAAAGATTGACATCGCCGTCATGGCGATGCCGTTTGCCGCCCCTCTTTGATGTTGTTTCTGTTATTTCGGAGATTTTTTGGACAAAAGACGTATGATGTCAGTTCCGCCCAAATAGAAACTGCAGATGGAAAAAATGTAGTGTCGAAGAGTACTTACCACAGCTTGGTTTTGAAGAATGAACAAGCCGGTTATAACAGACACCTACATAGAGAGAAATGCAATTACTAAGCCATCAGTCCTATGAAACTGAGAAATATTTCCAATCCAAATATTTTCGATTTCTCTGGAACCACAATCTTTGGTTTTTAAAAAAGGGGTTGATGCTCTGTGAGTGACAGATAAGAAAAGATCTCAGGAGCTTACACTTAACACATTCTTAGCGACGGAAGCACAATTCAACACCAGGCTAAGGGTGAAACCAGATAGCTTGGCTATAAGCGGGTAACTTGAGAGAAGGGGTATAGCCAGAGCCTACGGACAGGAAACAACGTAACTTAAGATTTTTCTTGCGCACACAGAGACAAATTCACAAGATTTTGAATAAGAACATCAGTAATGTAACGACTACAGGACTTACCGCAGCAAAACGGGTAACTTTGATAGGTCCTAAAAGCCTCTCCAGGTAAGAGTATAATGAAAGCTGAAATACAAGGAGACCAAAACCTAGAAAGCAGAACTGTAGGTCAGCATAGTTCTTGCAGATAATTTCTTTGGAAAAAACTTGTCGAAGTATTATATGAAAACAGAAGCGCAGAAAAGCACGCAAATTCAAAAGAGAAAACACATAAATGAACGTGCTTGTCCTTCTCACCTGAAATGGCAAGAACTGAACCCACTTCCGAGGTGGTGTATCCCAAACCTCCATATCTCTTGGGGCTGTTTGCCCACAAGGAAAATATCTGTAGGGTAAACTCACAATTTAATCGTAAATGAACAAACAATAAGAGGAGAAAGGACAGCAAGATGCATAAATAGTGAAATGATCTACCTCTGTGTAAGCCATGTCATGAAGTGAAAAAATACAATAAACAATGATAGACGAGATTAGTGGCCAATTCTTTAAGAGAGAACTTCCTTCATCTCTCCCTGCTTTTCCATCAAAGTCTGGGTCATGACTCGCCGCTTCCAGAGCTTCGTAAGAATCATCATGTGACGCATCATCAAACTTGTGATTGTGTAATGTTTCCTGGATAGGGAAGAGACAATGATAAGAGGGACAGTAATCAAGGAGAAAATTAAGAACTGAGAAAGCACTTTATACTTCCAAGGCAGTAAAGATTTACGATAAATCAGATATGGACAAGTCAGTAGCTTACCGGAATCCAGAGGGAAATTATTGTCACCCCTAAAGCAAAGAGTGATATTACAAAACATGGCAAGAAGTACGGGAATCTGCATTATGATTTAAACTCTGGTGAGAATATTGTTTCAGAGATGCAAAGGGCGTAAAACATTTGAACTGCAGAACCTATTACTAGTTATAGCGGTGAAGAAAAAATAGAATTCTGATATACCCAAAAGTCACATACTTGCCAAAAATTGATTCCTTGGAGAATATGTTGGGATATTTCTCTGCCGGCTGAATCAGTGGCAAAAAAATATCAGAAGCACTAAAAAGAAAACTGCGAAAAGCAAGAGCAAAGAGGGGCCAATGTATATATTGTAACAAGATTCAAATTCTCATGTCAAGAGTCTGGGAAGGAGCACCTGTGCAAGAAATCCTCCCATGGCTGGGCCAATGATCAATCCAATTCCCCATGCCGTACTAACCTGCAGTCGAATAAGTCTCCAGATGTCACAACATGACGAAGATACATTGATAGGGAAAAAAAAGATAAGCTCAAGACAAAACTTACGGCTGAGAGAGCTAACGCTTGATATTCGTCACGGAAAATTTCCATTGCATAAGCCTGAAGTGCACAACATTAAATAAGAAGCTATAAGATATTGAAAGACTCGTATAAAGAGCTGTGAGAAGTTGTGAAGTGTATGTAAGACGAATAAGTAGCAGAGAAAAGGTACCTTAATAGGTCCAAGTAAACCATTGAAACTTCCAAGGCAAAACCTTGTGATGATGGCCATCCAAAAATTCAAACTTAAGCCAAAGAGAGTATTGAATATCACCCTGTGATGAATTTAACAGAGTTATATACTGCAAATAAACAATCTCATACAAAAGACGAATCGAGAAGCAACTTTAGAATACTAACACTGAACCCGTTCCAAGGAGGATTACAGGTTTTCTACCATAACGATCAGCAACCATCCCCCAGGCAACAGATGTAAATGCTCTGCCAAGCATAAACGAGCAACCTTTACCGTACAACCAGGTCAATTAGCAGATGGAAAACCGAAAGCAACAGAAATATGGATGACAAAAGATATTGCGGTAAAGACTGAAACTCACCAACAAATCCAGCATAAAAGCCAATGTCTTCTTCCTTTTGTGCGATTTTAAAATCACCAATCTAGAAACAGTAAAAAGCATACGGAGTTCACAGTTGAATTCATGACAAAATAAAACTTTCTGGGTTCTGAATGTCAGTAGTTAATAACCATGGTCATGAAATTTTGCCTTCACATGAAACACAGCACATAAAGAAACTGTGCCAAAACACCATAAAACCAACCAGAACAGATTAGACTGGATACTCACCATAAAATAAAGGAACGGGAACAGAGAAGAGATGGGCAGAGCTGAAAAGTAAGAGACGCAATAAGCAAAAAGTGAGATCGCAGTTGAAAATGCACTCAGAGTCTTGCTTTAGAGACAAGAAAACTTTCTTCTGATGAGTCAAAATTGCGGTAGTTATCACTTTAAGCCAAACATTTTCTCCCCAATCTCATTAAAACTCCAATAAATTCGAGGAGTTCTAACACCGTGACCCACAGTTCTTTCCACGATTACATCAATTATTGAACAGAATTCGAATTGAGTACAGTGCCCTGATGAAAAAATATCGATTCAAACAACGGAACCATACAATAAAATGGAGCAAGTTTATAGAGAAATCGACACAATCCGTCACAAATTGGTTTCAGAAATTCGGTATGATTCTAGGTATTATCATATTTTACCACTTACCAGTGCAGAGGACGACGATCCAAACGGTACAAAGCTCCCAGAGAGGGAATCCTCGACGGAGCTGCTTCATCTGCTCAACCTTACAACCCGGGCAATTTTCATGGTAGTTCTTCTTCAACAGCGTCTCCATGTGCTCTTCCGCCATTTTCACCGAGCTAACAAAACCGCCGCAAATATCACCTCGCCGAATCTCAGGCTGAATCCAAACATACGAATCAAAATTGAAAAATAAAAAAACTAACCATCACTACACAAAAAAAAACGAAGAAATTGCCATGCGATATAAAGTATAAACAAACAGAATCTCGAGGAGATTTTTTGAAAGGGAAAATGAAATCTCAGCTCACCGATTCTCAGGCTGAACCCAAACAACTGATAAGCACAAAGAACAAGAAAAATCGGACTGTCAATAAAAATAAAAAAAAAAAAACTCGACGAAAACATCCCAATGGCGAGAAAATAACCCAGAATCTCGGGGAAACAATTTCAACGAATCCTGCAACGTACGAATGCGTTTCTCGGGAAAGAGGGAGAGGAAAATCGCCCAAACAGAAAATTTCGCATACCTCGAATTCCAATCGCTCTCTCTATCTCTACGCGCAAAACATGAAAACTGTAGAGACGAGGGGAAGCTATTAGTAAAAGAGAGCGATCAAACGACCATGAAGGAAGGGGAGGGCTCCAAGCTGTATTTGACCCGACCTCCTTCCCATGCGTCCTTGCGCACGTCACTGTATGTATATGTTACCTGAATCTATTTTTTTATTCCTGATTCCGGGTTCTGTTTTCAGTCAATTTAATGGATACAAAAGATTTCATTTTGTTTTTTTTTTTTAGTAAGAAAATTTCATTTTGTTTTCCTCCTGGTATTTATCTACTTATAAACAAATAATCGAAGTTGTCAATTTGAATTTTGTAACTCCAAAGATAATTTTCACGATTAAAACTATCCTTTCTTTCTGTATCTGTCGTCGACTTGGGCCCATTCAAATAATATATTGTTGTTTGTTGCAATTGTTATTACCAAATATTGAATGGAGTAAGATCATTTTTAGATATTTAATTCTATAATAAAGATAGTTTTTTTTCTTTTAAAATTTTGAATTTCGAATTATGAATTTTAAATATGATGTTGTTGTATAATTTTATTTTAATTTGTCAATTATTACAAATGTTCCGTATATAACAAAAAATACTATGATATTAATAAATTCCACCAAATAAGATGATTAATTTTTTAAATCTAAGGATTCAATTTATTTTTGAAAGTATTAAATTTAAATATATTTATGTTGAATAAAATATGTTTTAATAGGATATGAATAATTTACGAACTATCTATAAAACTATTTTTTACTCTAGTTAATGTAATTTCTTGAATAATAGATACATATATCAACTCTGTACTTGATTTGGTTGAAAATAGCTATCATCTTAAAAGAAAACTTTATATACTTTTGTTTTTTAATTATCTTATTCAGTAATAAATATAACAAATACAGAAAAATTTCTTTATCCATTCAAACTTTTAAATTTTTTTTTTTTGAATATATTAAATTAGTTTTAAAATTTAAACTTTTATCTGATTCCCTAAAAAATTGTAAAAAATCAACTAGTTTTCTCTGTTTTTATCATATCATTAAATTATACATTATCGAAGACAACATTTTTCTAATTTTTATTTTTACATTTAAATTTAAAAAATTTAAAATAATAATGTTTATATTAGTAGAAAAGTTAATGGTGTATTAATAAGAAAATCGTATTTCTTTTCAAATATCTAGATAACGTAATTTACATCTTTTTATTGAAAAAAAGGGTAGTTAGAAGATAAAGTCTCCAACATGACATACGGGCAAAATATTGTCTCGATTCAATGGATGAAATGTGTAGATGTCATTTTCATTGAGAAATCAGTTATTATTTGAATAAACGACAAAAAATAAATTTTATGCGTGTTTCATTTAGACAGGCTTCATATACGGGTTCCAATTCAAAGCCGACATATCTTTGTGTCTTGTTCCTGTCCTATGTTACACGTAATGGCTATTAGTGATGCTTAATTCTCGAATCCAAATTCGAATTGTACCTAATTATTTTAAAATAAATTGTGTATATGTATAGGTGTATGTACGTATGTGTGTGCATAAGAATTCAATATTTTAAATTTTATTAAAATTACATTTACGCAATAATGGATTGCCACTAAAATGTCACGAGGGTTGCATAGCCACATCATGACAAGATATTTCTGTATACGGCACATTAATTAATTACGGAAGATGTATTAAATGCGCATCTAATCTAATCTCCACGTGAAAATAGCCGTTAAGAAGAGTGTACACGTCAGCCCTCCACCAAATCCGTATCTAAGTTTTTGTCCTTTTCGTTATTGTAATTAACAATTTTGTAGCTCTTTAAAAAAGTTTTGTTATTAAATAAATAAATAAAAATCAAATCTGAATCTGAAAATTCGGACATCTTCTTATAGGATCAGGAAAATATTCCGAGCATGCAATAATCAATTACGTTATTAGCTAATCCTTGATCCTGGATCTCTTTTCTGACATATGAATATATACTAATGGATTTCGAATTTATTAAATCAGAGAAAAATTTATGATTATTACCATCTGCATGTGTATGGAATAGTATATATATATATACACATGTATGTTTAGATTTTTAGACTTAATATTAAATTTTCTATTTTAAAATTTGAAAAAAGAAAAGAGAAAATACCTCCATTAATAATGTTTTCCTGATTTCTTATATCCAACTAAACGAATATACATACTAAAACATTTTAAACTAACATTCTGACATTTCATCATCAAGCAAATAAATTTTGACACCGAACAGTAGGAACCCCACTTAACCTCTTTAGTGGCCATAAATATGAAGAGGAAGATGGAAAAATTAGGAAAATTTATATGTGCGAGTCGTAATTTTTAAAAATATTTCTGGTTATTTATAAAATCAATTTGGGGTATTTTTATTTATATTATGGCTGTAATTGAGAGATTTCATCTATATTGCAAGAGAACAAAAATCTTTATCGGAGTAATTATATATTTTGAGAGATAAAGTAATAATATACGTGAAAGAGACTAGAGAGATACTCCTGATTTTTTTTTAATATTATTAAGAGAGTGTTTCGATTTCTAAGTTTCTAAAAAAAAACTTATTTCTTTAATATTTAGATCTGTATATTAAAAATCTAATATCAACCCACCAAATTCATGTCGTTCCCTTATAAATTTATCTATTTCTATACGATATCTCAAATTATGAACAAAAATCGGTATATAATATAGAGAAGATTTTAATTTCGGTATATTCATAATATATATACAAAGATTAAAATGAAACAAACCGAGTATTGTATAAATAACCATGGATTACAAATTAAAGACACGTCATCAAACAGACATATAGCAGTAGGTCTTTGAAGGAAGAAGAGGGAAGAATGAGTACGGGGAATCGGGTTAGATACATGAAAAGTGAACAAAAGTGGCACCATCCAACACTTTCACTATTATAATTATTATAAATGCTAATTTTATTCTATTTGGTCTTTTCTATTAAAAAACATAAAATTCTTTTATAATTTTCTTTTTGTGTGTACACAATAACAATATTATTAGGTTTTAAAGACGAAAAATTCAAAAGGGTGTCGATCTCTGGTGTGGTGACAATTCGGACAATAAATGGAGGGAGAAAAAGTAGCTCAACTGTGATAAGATGCATAATAAATAGCGGAGTGGGCCCCGGTGGTGGCAGGAAGGAAGGAACCACGGCTACTCCTCAGGATCAATGGCACATTATGTGCCATGTGAGAAACGTTGCGACCGTCTTTGCCCGACAGCTCCAACACATATATTCGGCAGAGCTGTCTCATAGGATGTTCCATTCGGTTCATTGGCATAGGGTCCAAAAATTGGATGGGTCTTGTATTTGGCTCGCGGACCGACTAATTTGGTTCACGGTTAAGACGATATGGACTGTGTTGATATATTTTTGACTCACTAAAAAACGGATTTAATTAGGTTGGGCTAAATCTTTTTCCGATCGGAACGAGCTGGAATGGGTTGGGTCGAACCAATCCGTTTACACGGCTACTATCAACCGATGAACAGTGACAAGGCGAGTACTCAAACATCAGGTTTTATGCCGAATCCTATTATATTATATATAAAACCAAAACGGACCAATTTATTGAATATCTAAAAACGGTTCAGTCTTTTTGTTCAATAAAGGCCAACGGGCTAAACCCTAAAGACAAAATAGGGCAGTGCATCAAAGCCTTGGAAATTAGTGTAAGAGTAGATATTCAAAGAGCACATTTCTTATTAAATATATTTTAGTAAGATTTTCTTAGTAAATATATTTTGTTAGAAAGGAAAAAAAATCAATAACACAGAGACATGATGTACCAACAACAATGCTATTCAAATATCAATTTATTAGCAAAATATATTTATTTCCTTTATTAAAAAAAAAGACAAATGAAATTGAAAGCCTAAAGTTAGCTGGGTTTCATTAGCAATCTCCGGTAACCAATCATCCAAACAACTACCGTCTTCTTAAATTTGTATCCGTAAGTCGAAGGAACTCTGGAGCAATTCACATCCAACGTGATCGGTCATCTCCGAGTAGTTAGAAATGGCCTGAACGTCAGAGCTACACCAACCACTACTATCACGTTCAGGACGAAGAACACCGTATGCGCACCTGTGCATGGCCATGATATCAAAGACGTATAAATAAATACCAACCATGGAAATGTTTAGCGTGAATACATACATGTGTATATATATAATACGCATTTAGCAATAGCAGCGTGTAAATGACGAAGGAATCAAATAACAATCAACCAACTTGCTACCATATTATATAAAGACCCATATCTACAATTCACTTTTCGTACCTGGGAGAAATGCAGCGTCTAGTCGCCTCTCGCTCCAAGAAAATCTGCCAAGAACAGAGATATTGGCAAACACATACATAATATGCGTTCCATTGAACAAAGAGGTCAAACGCCAGCTAAATTTTGTGTAAAATATCGAACAGAAAGTTTTACTTACAGGGCACCGGCTGCGGCTGGACCCATGGCCTTAAAGAGAGACATCGCGGTCATGGCTATGCCATTAGCCGCCCCTCTTTGGCGCTGATCCTGTTTCATGTGATCAAGAAGTTTAACTCGAGCAAAGATTTATATAAACGGGCAGTTACACGAACGAGAAACAGAGAGTTGGAACTCAAAAGAGTGAGATTGAATTTACTTACCACAGCTTTATTTTGCAGAATCAACAAGCCAGTTATTGCGGATACCTATTCATTCATAAAAGGAATATGCATATAAAGAAACTATCTTCCACGAAAGGTCCATGAAAATGGGAGAACAAAAATTGAGTAAAAGATAATTACGCTTAAGACATTCAGGAGAATGGATGCACAATTTAGCACCAAGCTTAGGCTAAGACCGGTCAATGTGGCAATAAATGGGTAACACGTTTGAAGAGGTATCATCAGCACCTGAACTCATTCATGAAGGAATATGTCAGAAAAAAGTTAGATGTAGGATGAGTAGACGAGCTATTAAAAGTCAGAGTGATCAGTTTACCCCCGAAAAACGGGTGACCAGTATGGGGCCTAGCAGCCTCTCGGCGAAAGGATATATAGTGACCTGAAAGAAAAAGAGGCCAATGCCTAGAAGAAGAACCAACTCTTTGTGAGCAACTAAGTCTAACATTTCATGAGAAAGGATGTGAAAGTCAGTCTGATTTACTGTCATAATCGAAAAATTTTCACTAGGAAGGACATTCTGAGTACCTGAGATAGCAAGAACAGCGCCAACATCATTAGTTGAGAAGCTCAAACCTCCATACTTCCGCGGGCTGTTAGCCCACAATGCAAAGATCTGCATTAGCCAATTCCAATTGATTAAGATATTTGTTCAGACAATGTACGCAATACCACAACAGAGGCAAAGGATCCAACTGCTGTAACACTGTTTTCATAAATATTTATACCCTCCTAGTTGATTTAAGCACTTTAACATCAGAAAATGAGGACAGAAGTAGAACATGAAATTTTGCACTGGAGAAAATGAGGAATGTAGAACGCGAAATATTGATACTCGTAGAAGCATTTTTAATTAACTCTAGCAAGCTATGCCAAAGGTAAATATTAAATACTCACCTCTGAGTATGCAGTATCATGAAGACATAAAACACAATACACAATGATAGATGACATCAGGGGCCAATTCTTCAAGAGAGAAACGTTAGAATCCTTGTTTCCTTCGTCTTTCACTGTGTTTTCGCTAGCTTCTAAAGCTTCATACGAGTAATCATATGCAGTATCCTGCTTGTGATTGTGCAATGTTTCCTATGTGGCAGAAACATAAAAAGAGACATGTAGTCTTTTCTCAGACGCCCTAGCCTGTATTTTTGAATGAATCAACTCCAAGACAGCCTACCACAACCCCAAAATGGACAGTAAAGAGCATACCGGAATGAAGCAGCACCATACAGTCACCAACAATGCGAAAGCTGATATAGTGAAGCAGGGCAAGGCATATGGGAATCTGCATTGCATTTCATATGTTAGAAAAACACCAAATTCAATTCCACCACATACAAAGGGTGTTGGAGTAGAGATGAAGCGGCAATTTGTATGGCAAAGATACAAACCTGCCGAATATGGATTCTTTGGAGAATATATTTGGATATTTGTCTGCTGGCTGAATTCGGGAAAAGATGTAACGACATTAGAATGGGACAGGAAAACAACAAACGGATCACAGACAATTTGCGTCAAAGAAAACTGAAAATGCGTCAGCCAATATTTTTCTGCAAGATCAACTACCCGGACAACAAAGTTGATTCTTACGTTGAGAGACCAAAAGACAAAACGTTCAAAGGGCAGAGGATCATAATGGGACAGAGATATTCTACGTTCACCAAGGGTGCTAAGAAATTTAGTTTGTTACCTGTGCAAGAAAACCTCCCAGAGCAGGTCCAATGATCAATCCGATGCCCCATGCTGTACTAACCTGGAAAGAAAAACATAACCAGTGACATACTTCATCATATGTTCAGACAAAACAATGCGAAAATAACAAGGAAAAGCTTACAGCTGACATTGCCATAGCCTGGTATTCATCACGAAATATCTCCGTTGCATATGCCTGAAAGTTGTCACATTCATCATCGGATTTGGGAAATACAACATTCTTTTTAACAGGAGATATTTTTGGGTGAGCAGAAATAAGAAACAAAGTGATTACAGGATAGGAAAAGGATACCTTCATTGTCCCAAGCAAACAGTTGAAAGCACCGAGAAAAAACCTCGTGGCAACTGCCATCCAAAAATTTAAGCTAAGGCCAAAGAGAGTGTTGAGAATAGCACTGCATCGAAATCTTAGTCAGTCGTCTTGAACATGAATATGGATTCAAGATATAGAAAGAGCTTGAGGTACCAACATTGAGATGGTTCCTAAGAGAATAATCGGTTTTCTTCCATAGCGATCCGCAACAATGCCCCAGAACACAGATGTCATTCCTCTGCCAAGCATGAATGCGCTACCTTCAAAGTATTCAGAGGTCAATTAGAACAAATGACAGAGAAACCAGCGTACCAGAACACATGACAGAGACAATGCAGCTTTCATATCAGCTCACCCACAAATCCGGCATAAAAGCCAATATCTTTTTCCGTCTTTGCAATACCAAAATCATCAATCTGAGAACACAAACAAGAAAACCGGAGTACGTGGCTCAGCACCATCCGTAAGATAACAATGGAATGGAAACAATTTCAGCCCATGCTGAAATTTCTCACAATTCAGACCCACAAAACCTAATGAAAGGATTAAATCTGTTATAATCGTAAACTCTGGTAAGCAAGTACTCACCATATAATAGAGGAAAGGATACAGAGACGAAATTGGAAGAGCTGAGAAATCACAAACACATGAATACAAGTGAGAACATTTGCAACGGACATGGATTATTAAGAATTACTTTCAACACAAGAAAGTTTGGCCACAATCGATTCAAATTAGAAATTACAATGAGAATAGAACAATACTTCTCCTAAATCTCCTCCCAGCGTTAAATCCACATAAATTAGACGAACCCAAGATTGTACCAACACAGTTCGTCTCACATCACAAAATCAGAACGAGCATTTCATTTGAACAACAAACAGCAAAAGAAGATTCGAAATCGAAATTGCTCACAAGTGGAGAGGACGATGATCCAAACGAAGACAAGTTCCCGGAAAGGAAATCCTCGCCGGCGCTCCTTCATCTGTTCAACCTTACAACCAGGACATTCATCGTGGTACTTCGTCTTCCCCAACAACGCATCCTTGTACTCGGACATTTCCCCCCTGCTCCGATTCGAAAATCTCCTCGTCTTCTAAAAATCCAAAAGATAAAAAAAAAAAAAACTTCAAAAATAAATGAATGAATCAAAATCCGCACGGGAAACAACGAAGTAGCAGCGCCTCCAGTGAATTCGGAAATCTTACCGGAACCGAAAATACTTTCCCGACGCGTGAGAAACGGGAGAGAAAATTCTCCGTAGATGAGATTCTATGTGGAGTGCGGACCTCGCAAGAAAAAGCCAATCAGTGAAGAACAAAACTAGAGTTTGTCACGCTGCGTATATATATTCGCAGAAGACAAAGGGACGATGAAGCTAATCGCCAAAAAGGTGCCACGATGTTTTGCTTTTAATTTTTTTTTTAATTGATATTGGGAATTCGATTATTTTAATGATTTTGATTTAAATTAAGATTTTCAGATAAGTTTTATTTATTTCAAGAATCTCTGTAAAACCGAAATGAAAGAGGAATGTTTTCCACATGGGATGCGATAATGCTGGCAAGAAGGAACAGGCAAAAAGAAAATAAAAGAAAGTTCATTAGGCCTTGCCCCTTGGTGTACCTAAGGATATATTGATAGCTTATGTTCCAATATTCTGTATTATTTAATTCGGATACCTCTTTCGAAATTTATTTCTAATTGCATGAAATGATTTTATCTTGTTTAAAAGAGGAAAAATGAGCTAAAAGGTAAAAAATAAAAATAAAATCAATATTTTCTTTGGATCTTGATTTTGAAAAATAGATGTAAAGTTTGAAGATTTCTTTCCATAACAATTTCATCTAGCATATCAGAATATGGGCTTTTTCACCAAGGATATATTACACGTACACTAGAAACCACATCCAAAATCTTTCGGATATGCTAATGATTTTGCGACAGTCGATTTGAGATTGTTTTTACCAAAAAAAAACTACTAGAAGGTAACGGTTATTTTTTTTTTTTTTTGAATTTCAAATCTTTTAATTAAATGATACCACATTTTTCAGCTTTTCTAGGCATTTAATTAATTAAATGATGTCACACTATTTTTTTTTTCTAATGAAAATTGGTGGATATTTATATCAACGAAATAATATTTAATTGTATTTTAACTAGATATAGTTAAAAATGAAACAAATATAAATATAATTGAAAAATAAATTTAAAATTTAAAAAAATAATTATAAACTAAATTTTCAAATCGAGATCTGAAAAACATAATATATATATATATATATATATGTATATAATTTTAAAATACAAATAGTAAAATGAAAATTAATGTGTTTACCACTAATAAAAAAAGGCATAGACAAGTCACGAAAAAAAATATATATATATATATATATATAATTTTAAAATATAAAAAAATACACATAGTAAAATGAAAATTAATGTGTTTACCACTAATTTTTTTTTATAAAAAAATCATAGACAAGTCACGTGTTCTTCGACATTTCTTCACGGAGACCAAGTGACGAACGATTCACGTGAATTTCGTCCTTTATTAAAATTAAATCTCTCTCTAACTGAAAATAGCAAAAACAAGAAAGGGAAAAAAAACTCGAAACACAAAAAAAAATCTAAAACTGAAACAATCGAAGAAGAAAAAACTCGGACCAATTAAAGACATTGTGAGTTCATTATGATGACATTTGAAGCCAATCTCTTTCTTGATTTTCTTCATTTATATGACATTGACGGAATCTTCCAATAAATCCCTATAGATGCCAAAATGGAATAATTTTTTAACCTCATTGGAATATTTTGTGGATTTTTTTTTTTTAATATTCATTTATCATCCAAGTATTATCCATATGGCGATTGTAGTGCTTTATCCAATAAGGACAAATGCAAAAAAAAAAGAGTATTATCTTGAATTAAACTTTACAAATTTCTTAGTAAAACAAATATAAGACAAAAAATATTATCATAACTAAAACCGTAAAATCTATTATTTTTATTGTTACTAAAATTATATACATTAATAATATAATATTCCAATTTTTTTATTTTTAAGTATGATATTTTAAACCTCGAAAGACAACGTCACACGCGCTGTCTCGGTGCGTCTAAGCAATATCTATCTATCTCCACACACATGCACACGAATAGTTACATCTGGCCACGTGCCCCGCACATGACCAACACACCGCTTACTGCATCCCACATATTCATATATACATGTAAATATACACGTATGGTTGGCTAGATTTTACACACGCGTATACGTATATACACATGCATGAGCATGACCGTTTTAGAGGTATGCGAGTGATGCCCAGAGCCATATACTTATATACACTTGCATTTTACCAAATAAGCAAACCTTCATATATATATATATACATATTATAATTTTAAATCTATATTAACAGGGTAATCATTTTTCTATACTTTGGATATCCCCTATAGAATATATATATATACACACACACGATAAAATAACGACTTTCTACTTCATTTATTAAAATTTTAAATGTTTAGATTTTCTATGTGTGTTTTTTACCATCGTATCTGATAACACGGAGAATTTTGACCAAATGAGTGCGAGATTTTCTATTCTCAATACACGATCTAGAAAATATATAATATGCATTACAAGATTGTTGTAATAATTAGATTTAATATATATATATATATATGAGAAAATAGCTTACATATAACTTTATTTAATTTCAATTGTTTGAATCACATATGAAGTCAAGCTTAGAAGTCTATCAACCTTCGAAAATAATAAAAAAGTATATTGTCTTAAAAAAGATAATTAGTCTTATAAAAACTTGAGAGGTAAGTAACAAGTCAAAACAGGCGTACGAAAACTTTGGGCAATAGGGGGAAGGAACGGGGAAGGAACGGGAGTAGCCCACATAGGGGTCGCTATTTTGGATTTCGATTCGGATTCATTTGGTTATATTTGAGTTCAGTTATTTCGATTATAGAAAAACTATAACCATTCGGTTTTTATATAAATTACGGTTCGATTCGGTTATTTTTCGGTTCGGTTCGATTTCAGTAAAGAACTCATTTTTTCAAAGAAATCATCGGTTTTTTCGGTTATTTTTTTATTCGGTACGGTTTCGGTTTTTGGGTTTAAGGAAATCAACAGTGCACTTGCTTAAAGAAATTATTGGTCACAAAGATTTCGACTTTTTTTATCCGATAAGAAAAAACATTATTTTTTCTATTTTTGTAGACGAAAATATTAATTCGTTTATATTTTGTATAAAAGAGTTTATTTCTTAAGGAAATTCAAAGAGATTAAAAAAAAAATCTACTTACACTTTTCAACGAGATAAAAATTATTAGGATTTTTGTTTTATTTTCTGGAATGAATTATTAATTTCAGTTTCATGTAACATATTTAAAAATCAAAATGAACGTAGATATGTGACAACTTTAATTAATTTCAGTCATAAAAGATCAATTAACTCCAAATGGTAAAATCTCATATGAAGTGTCAAAGATTCTCCGAGTCAGGACAATTTTAGAAATCTATATACGTTAATAAATAGTTTAATACAATGATAATATATGAATTTCGATTTCCCATCTTTTAGATATAGATCTTGATATAAAAAAAATTTAATCAGAAAATAAAATTAAAGAAAAACACAACTTGAGATGGCTGAACACTCAAGAACAAGTCAGCAAATCAAGCTGGACAATTCCAATAGTACATATAAGATGATGAGAGAATGTAGAAAAACTTTGACCATTCCACATCCGATGTTTTCCTTTAATCTTTGATATGATTATCTTTTTCATGCCGTATCGCTACTAGATTTCTGTAAAAAAAAACGAAATTATGATAAATTATACGCCACTTGTAATTGATTAACAACATAAGCTAGTTGCAAGCGAGATATAAAATAATATGTTTTTAATGTTGAAATTGTCGTATTTTCTAAATATATATATCGGTAAGGAGAAAAAGCTTAAAAAACCAAAAAAAAAAACATTAAAAAATATTGAGATTAAGGATTCAGTAGAAGAGAAATATGGAATCTTTCTGGTAGGCCAGGCGTGTTTTGTTTTTGTATTCATGAATATATAGTTAGGGGAAATAATAGAGATGTACCTTCAAAGAGTTTATTGTACCTAGGAATCCCCTAGGCTTGGATCTATACGATTTAAAAACAAAAAAAAAACTGTTTTGGTATGTGGATTTAAAAAAATTCGAACCTTATTAAAATTTCTGCCCACTTTTAAATTTTGTTTTTGAGTTTTCGTGTTTACAATTATATATCGTTGACAATAGCAAAAATATCAGAATCATCTTTTTTTTTTTGTAAAAAAAAAAATATATTATCGAGGCCAGAATATGAGTTTTAATGCGTAATAAATTACTTGGGTTGGGCCTTCATCAGCGGTATAGGGCCTTGTACGTGGAGCCCAATAGGTCCTCGTGGCTCGTAAGTTAAGGTGAGGGGCATATATGGAGATTGTCAACCTTAAATAAATAATTTTAAATTTTAAATTTTAAATTTTAAATATGACAATTTAAAACCAATAACTGTATAAATCTCACCAAGACCCTAAACCATTATTCAATTTATAACATAATTCATGCGATTATTGATATTCTCTAATTATACAATTATTTATTTACATAGTTTTTATACATTTTAATAAATATGTAAATAAAAACAAAATCATTAGATATTTCTTGGGAAATGGGGCCCAAAAAAAAAAAGCCTCACATAAGCGATTGTCCTTTTACCTATCCGATTGGAAGCAAAACTACACAATAAAAAAATATATAAGAAAGATTCAAGGACGTGAAAAGCTCTGCAACCGCTACAAGCTCATCCATGGCGACTATAACCACCACCGCTACTTCCTCCGTTTGTTCATCTCCAATCCCAACAATTTCTCCGTCTCTCAGAACCCACCACCAATGCCAACAGCCCTCGAATCCTTCATCTCTTTCTTCCCTAAAATTGAGTTTGAGTTTCGTCTCCGGCGACTCTGTGGCCGTGGAGGGAGCTCCGGACATGGAGATGCTGGAGAGAGCGGCAAGGAGATCTGTGAAGGAATCGGAGAAATGGGTATTTCACGGTGATGGAATTGAGAAGAGGAGGAGGAAGAGAAGACGAAGACGAAGGGGTTTTGAGGGTTTGTACTCGGAGGAGGAGGAGGAGGAAATCGGTGGTGAAGAAACGAAAGTAGACGATGATAGAGCTTCGATTGGGCCTTCACGATCTGGGTTTTTGAGCCGTGAGGAGGAGGCTGAGCTTTGCTTGCGTCTTAAGGTATGCGCTTCCAGATTCTTGCACTTTGTTGTGGATTTGAAGAATGCGTTGTTGAAATCACTGGATTTCAGACATTCAAGAAGTATTTTAAGCAAGCAAACTCATGTTCTGTCTGAGTTATTTTAGTCTTTGATCTAATTCGGTTCGCAAGCTTTCCCTTGAACATTGATCTCGATGAATCTATAGGCAAAAGCCATCAAGAACTATCAAATTATAATCAGTTCTTACAATTCGAACAGTTCAAGAACGTCATTTTCTTGGAACTATATCCTTCATGATGATGCCATCTAGAAAATTACGGATTCAAGATATTGCTGCTATCTGCGAGTGTTGATTTTGAAGTGTTTAGGTTAGAATTGATAATCCTATCTCATGGTTTGTGTACTAACTTATCTTGTTTCCCGGGTAATGCTTTTTTCCTTAAAATCAATTAACAGGAAGGAGCAAAACTTGAAACCTATGGGACAAGAGCAGAAGATGCTCAAGGCAATGAAGTGGCATCAGTTCGGTTGTCCGGTGGCAGAGGGAAGAAGATACGTTTGGATGAGATATTACACCGAAGAAGAGAAGCGAGAGAAAAGCTTACTCGTTGTTACAAGAGACTCGTCGTCTCTATCGCCTCTGCCTACCAGGACAGAGGGTTGAACCTCCAAGACCTAATTCAGGTTTATATTTGATTTCCTTTCGAACAATTGTTTTCCCTGGAAAAGGATGGATATTTATCTCAGATATGGCAGGAAGGAAGCATCGGTCTGCTCCGAGGAGCTGAGAAATTCGACCCGGAAAGAGGGTACAAGCTCTCGACATACGTCTACTGGTGGATAAAACAAGCTATTCTCAAAGCTATCGCTCACAATTCTAGATTAGTGAGATTACCGGTGAGACCTCCATCAATTGTTAGTTCGTTAATGCCAAATTTAGTTCGAAGAAGAAGATAATAGTCTATCTTAAATGACGTCTTTTCTTGACAGCATCGTTTGCTTTGTATAGGAAGAAAACAGACTCATTAGGTTGCTTTGGGTTCTTTAAAACATGTTCTAGATCTGGGAAGTGAACTAATAAGTAATTAGTGAATGCATCGTTTAGTTATTTGTGTGTAGGGAAGCATGTGGGAGCTGATGGCAAAAGTTACAGAAGCAAGCAATGTCTTGAGCGGAAGCCTAAGACGGGCACCCACTTGTGAAGAGATAGCAAATCACCTCAACCTGCACATCTCATCCGTGAGGCTGGCTCTTGATCGGACCAGATCTCCTGCTTCGTTGGACCGACAAGCCTCTGATAGAGGTCGGATGACCTTACAGGTACTTCTAGCCCGCAAGTTCTGACATCGCAAAGGTTATGTTTCACCCTCGGGATCTCACTGGTTTTTGATTTTGAGACATGGGCACAGGAGATTGTGCAAGGGCCGGATGAAACGACGCCTGAGTACATGTTGAAAAGGAGACTCGTGAAGAAGGGGATCAAGAAACTTCTAGAAACTCTCACGGAGAGAGAATCTCGGGTGCTGAGGCTGTATTTCGGGCTCAATGGAGAGACTCCGATGTCTTTTGAAGAGATCGGGAAGAAGTTGAAGCTTTCGAGAGAGAGGGTTAGGCAGATCAATGGCATTGCTCTAGCAAAGCTACGGAATGAACATAATGTGAACGATCTGAAAATGTACTTGTGAAACTCCTTCAGTGAATAAAAAAAGTAAAGAGCTTTCTGTACATGTTTCTCTTCCCAGATGCTCTGAAAGCTGCAATGGTGGCACATGAACAACAACTCCGACAACGACCAAACTGGTATTGTTCGTCGGATTTTGAATATAGATCACATTCTCTTACAGTTTAATCCGGATTAGACAGACAAATACTGAAAGCTGATTAGAAACGCTGTTAATTTGACTGCTTGATGGGTCTATTGCAAATTTATTATACATCATAGCGGAACAGAACATGTCAGAAGTCAGTTTATCCGACATGGAGGTGTGTCATCTGCCATATTAAACATGGGTCACACGTTTCGTGTATTGATAGGTCTTCATAAGCTGCCATCTTGCAAAAAGCTTTCGATATTCTCCCTCGTTTCAACTCAAGTACTCAACCGTGAGCTTCTGTCTGCTGCGTGCGCGAGCGAGAGCGAGAGCGAGAGAGAGAGAGATGGAGGGAGGAGGAAAGGTGGTGTGTGTGACCGGTGCTTCCGGTTTCATAGCGTCGTGGGTGGTGAAGCTCTTGCTCAGCCGTGGCTACACCGTCAGAGCCACCGTTCGAGACCTCGGTTAATTCCCTCTCTCTTCACTCTCCCTTTATGCTTTCCGTTCTGTCGTCTTCTAAAATAATACAACGTCTAAATTCATCGAAGAACATGCATTTCTTTGTAATGGCAATGAAACAGTACTCATCCAGTTAAAATCTTTGCATGAAAAGATCTAGTTAACGATGCATATGAATTGAGTTTACACACATTCTCGTGTTTTTCTTGAAACCCTTTTGTTGTTCTTAGCGCCTTTCTTTCTTTCCTTTCGACCACACGATCAAACCCTCAGGGGATCCAACGAAAACAGATCACGTTCTTACCCTCGAAGGCGCAAAAGAAAGAGTCCAATTGTTCAAAGCAGACTTGCTGGAAGAAGGGTCTTTTGATGCAGCCATTGATGGCTGCGAAGGTGTCTTCCACATTGCTTCTCCTGTCACTATGTCCTCAAAAGATCATCAGGTCCATTGAAGTTAACCCTAGCTGTCACTTGTGTAATCACATCTCTGATTACTAGTTTCGGTTCTTTGATTGGATTGAAATTCTCAGGCTGAACTGATCGATCCGGCGGTGAATGGAACCATTAACGTCCTTACATCATGTGCAAAAGCTTCCTCTGTCAAGAGAGTCATTGTGACATCATCGACGGCCGCAGTTGTAGTCCGAGAACCCGGGATAGGGCCCGATGACACGATCGATGAGACCTGCTTCTCTGATCCTACTGCTTGTGAGAAACAAAAGGTAATACAAGAAACAAAATCTTTGCAATCAATCTTTCTTTAAGAACATGTAAACCGGTCTGGTAATACATTTTTCTTTTTCTTTTTTGCAGCTATGGTATTCGCTCTCGAAGACGTTAGCAGAGGAAGCGGCATGGAGATTTGCAAAGGAGAATGGAATCGACATGGTCACGATAAATCCGGGACTCGTGATCGGTCCTCTTCTTCAGCCGAGGCTCAACTTCTCGGCCGGGATCGTTCTTGAGCTGATAAACGGAAAGAACCCGTGGAACAGCAGAAGCTACAGGTTTGTGGATGTGAGAGATGTTGCATATGCTCATGTTAAGGCCTTGGAGATTCCTTCAGCCAGCGGTCGGTACATCATCACGGGCCAGATTTCGACGATAGACGATATCGAGAAGGTTTTCAGAGAATTTTTCCCCGAGCTGCGGATTGCTGATAAGTGAGCGTTCGTTCTCCTCCCTTTCGATCTAACATCATAAGAAAGGAAACGACGGGTTTAGTTGGCGAAAACCCGCTCGGTACAATGCTGAAACGGAATCTGTAATGAATCTTTACGTGGGTTTTGATTCAGGAACGAAGAGAAGGAGGTCTTTCCGGCAAGTTACAGAGTGAAACTGGACAAAGTGAAGAGCTTTGGTTTAGAGTTCACTCCCGTGGCAGTAAGCCTTAGGGACACTTTCTTAAGGCTCAAGGAGAAAGGCTTTCTATAGCACTCTTTGTGTTTCCATGATCTGTCTTTATATACAGACAGTTTGTGTTGGGAATCATGAAGAATTCCGGTGTTTACACATATTATCGACAGATTTTGGGTCTAAGTCTACAGGGGACGTCATCAGAGTCACTAAGACCACTCCAAGTTCACATTCCATAAATAGAATAAAATAGGCAACAACAAAAAAACAGAGACCACTCACACAACCGTACAGTCGGTCCATATCGCAACGTAAGCCACATGTTTTGACGAGTGTATGTATGTATACGTAATCCTAGTAAGTAACGCATCCTACTTAAACTTCCAACCTCCTAAACATGGGATTGGCATATCACCTATCTAGATAAGTTTTCAAAGTGTTTTTGCCAAGCAAACCGCCACATACCCACAGAGAGAGAGATGGAGGGAGGAGGAAAGGTGGTGTGCGTGACCGGTGCTTCCGGGTACATCGCTTCTTGGTTGGTGAAGCTCTTGCTCAGCCGTGGCTACGCCGTCAGAGGCACCGTTCGAGACCTCAGTTAATTAGTTCGAGACCTCTCTCTCTCTGTATATACGTATATGTGTATACATCTTTCATGGAATAGTCACCATTTCATTGATGTGGATAAGCATTCTCTCTCTCTCTCCAGGGGATCCAAGGAAAACAGAGCATCTTCTTGCACTGGAAGGCGCAAAAGAGGGACTGAAGCTGTTCCAAGCAGACTTACTAGACGAAGGTTCTTTCGACGAAGCGGTCCATGGATGTGACGGCGTCTTCCACACCGCCTCTCCCGTTTTCATCACCGCCAATGACCCTCAGGTCTGCTCCTGTCGGAAATTACCAACAGTTTCACATGTTCACTTTTTTTTTTTTTGGATTGTGGGTCTTTTTTCTTTCAGGCAGAGTTGATCGATCCAGCGGTGAAGGGGACCATTAACGTCCTGAAATCATGCGCTAAGGCATCTTCCTCGGTGAAGAAAGTGGTAGTGACGTCATCCACGGCCGCAGTTCTTGTCCGCGAGCCCAAGCCAGGGCCGGGCGACACTGTCGATGAGACCTTCTTCTCCGACCCGGCTGTTTGTGTCGAGCAAAATGTATCCGATATGGCTTTCTTTTTTGATAGATTTACCAATCATCTTAACCTGTAATTTCTTACATATTTGCAAGTAATATCATATATCAATGGAACTTTTCTGTTTCCAGCAATGGTATATACTCTCAAAGACACTAGCCGAGGAGGCGGCTTCGAGATTTGCGGAAGAGAACGGAATTGAAACGATCGTTATAAATCCGGGACTCGTGATCGGTCCTCTTCTTCAGCCAACGCTCAACTTCTCGGTGGAGGTTGTTCTTGAACTCGCAAAGGGTAACAATCCATGGAACAGCAGGTTCTACAGGTTCGTGGACGTGAGAGATGTTGCAGATGCTCATATCAAGGCCTTCGAAATTCCTTCTGCCAACGGACGGTACATCGTCGATTCCTCGGACCCTGTTGCGGTAGACCACGTCGAGAAGGTTTTCCAAGAATTCTATCCCGATTTGCGCATTGTTGGCAAGTGAGTATGGGTGTATTCTTCTTCCATCTCTTTTCGATGCCTTTAACACTCTTCAGTCGGTCTTAGGGTTCTATTTGTGCCGAATTTCGACGCAGGAACGAAGAGGAAGAAGTTTACTCAGCGAGTTTCAAGATGTGCGTTGACAGGGTGAAGAGTCTCGGCATAGAGTTCACTCCTGTGGACGTAAGCCTTAGGGACACCGTTCAAAGCCTCCTGGAGAAAGGTTTCCTGTAACATTTAAAGAAGAAACATGTTTTCATGATAAAAACAAAATAAAACAAAAGGTTCTCACGGATCCGAACCGATCTAATGCCGTTCATCCGAGTCGAGATCTCTCGATAGATTGAAAACAAGAAACGAAAACCGTCAAAAGGGATGCAGAAAACTGTCACCATAACATGAAGAACCTCTTGATGCATATAGAAACGTACCAAACACCATGGTGCAGCATAACAAACGGTGAAGACATTTCTCTTGCCTTGATTTATACACACACACATATACAAGCAAGAACAATCATAACAACAGCTTAACTCCTACATACCGATTTGATCATCATCTGCTAAAGCAACACACGAAGGCTTAAACACAGAGATGAACAAATCAGATTAAGTAGGCGGAGACCATCATTGGTAGTCCGAACACGGATTCAGAGAACCAAAAAACACAGCGGATATCGAACAAACCAAAAAACACGGATTCAAAAGTACCGGGACGCGAGAAATCTAAGTCGAAAGAGTGAAAAAGATCAAACAATTCTAGCGCCGGAATCTAAACCAAAACCTCGTCTTTAGCCAATAATGGAGTCGCAAAACCGGAAAAGATAAGGAATTTACGTTGTTGAATTCTGGATCCGTTAACATGCACATCACATTCTTCCCAAATCCCAATCTCTGTCTCCTCTGTGTCCATGTCCATCTATGCGGGCCGAATCCGAGTCCCAACGAAATGGGTGCTCGCAAATTGAGAAATGAATTAGGGTTTGGTGTCTCGTAAGTGGCAAGATTGAAATGGGGTCCAATTTCTTTTAGGGTTTAATAAGGGTTCTGATTGATTGCGTTGGTGTGCAAACAAGGGCAGGTAAAATCGTACCGACACGCGAGAGACGAGACCAAATGAAGTGAATTCGATGGATCGGTCCACAACAAATGAATTTATTAAAACTTGTAAAGCCATATACCTATGTATATTTTTGTAGTTTTTTTCTTCAAATTTGAAAATATCTATGATAGAAAGAAATTAAAAACAAAAAAACAAAATCAATGATCCATTTTCAACGTTTTCAACAAAAAGATTTTTTTCAATTTCATTATCATATGTTTGGACATTACATAGTTATGTTAACTCTTGTATCTTTCATAATCAATGAACAATAATGCACATTTGAACCTTCATTCGCAGCAGTGCTGAATTTCCAAGAAGCTTGTGGAGAATTTCCATCTGTTATACGTCGTTTCGGCCGTCATTCTCTCTTCAAGAGCGGGTTAGGGAACGGTTGGTTTCCCGTACTGTCGCTTTTCGGGTAAATCTCCTAATGATAGTCAGAAGTGTGATCGGGGTCGGGTTCATTTAGTCATAAGATTGCCTCGGGGATGCTGAGGTAAAACTGGTTCGGGATGTCGCATTTGTGGAGGTTCGAGACTTTGGACAAAAAACTCGGGTTCTCCTTCTGTCTCTCTTTCTCCTTCTTCATCTCTTCCAACAACGATCTGCTCGTGTCGATTCCTGGAACACTTAATTTGATCATTAGAAAACTGAAATCAGAGACCGCATTGTATCGGATTTTGACGGCGGCAACTCACCTGCAAGATATCCACCATGTACGTATCCGCTGAACTTCTCGCTCGTATGCTCACCCGTGAAGAAAATCCTTCCTACTGGTGCCTAGACAAAATTCCCACGACACAAGAAACCGTTCAAGAATGATCACAAAGCCTCAAATCTACGGAACAAGATTCTTCAACGAAAACGAGGAGAAGAAGGTACCTTTATGTTTTGGGCGAGCTGGTTATTGGATATGATAGGGTAGTTGCTGTAACTGCCGCGTTGGAACGGATTGTTCCACCATTTTGGGACAAGAATATCTGTGGCATCCGGTATGTCGGAACCAAACATGTCTCTTAGAACGGACATTGCTTCTTCGAGAGTCTCTTGGTCGGACTGAGCTTCCACACGCTTGGACTCTCCGTTGGTCAACGTTACGACCAGAAGATTGGAGCCTGGATAAGCATTTTCCATGTGCTGATGACAAAGTCACAGATAAGCAGAGAGATAAACCCAGCATAGTTTATATAAATTATGATAATTAATTGCTAATATAATTGGATATTAACACTAACAGTGTGATGTGACAGGTAAACCAATGTTTAGTTTATGCTGAAATTATCAAACGGGCATTTAAGGCAAAAAAAAAACAAGGGAAGGTAATCAAATCTGATTTTGACAGGAGATGATGATGGTCCAATGCCGTCATGGAAAAGCAATTTCAAGCTTATGAGCAAATCCAGATTTCAGAATTCGTTAAAAAACATCCTAATCCTATGAGCTAAGCTGACAATTTAATGCAAATAATCACTCAAAATCTGCAATGATCTGGCAAGTTTGACTAACTATACTGTATTTTTTTTTTAACAAGGTTTGTCGTTAAACCCTCGTAACACATGAACCATGCCTTTTGGTTATAGCTTATTAACTATTGTTTAGACATCTGGCCCCAAGAGACGAATCTAGACTAGAGAATGCATGTGCCACGTACAAAAGATGCGTGAACTTATCAATGCTATCCGTTGATAATTGCATTTATTTATTAGTATATGTAATGCAACCTTGTGATAATCAGCAGATGCCAGCACAAGGACCACTGTGTCACCCGTGTACGCATAATTGTTTAATCGGTTATAATAATCGAATCAGAGATCTATAAGTTTTGTGCATGGACCGACCCAAGTCAACAAAAAAACAGAGCCACCACCACAGTTGCAAGCAAGAGAAGAAACAGAGCTGAGAACTGAAACAGAGGCATTAGAGAATGAAATGGAAACTAACCTGCCAAAACGTGTAGTAGCCTCGCCGTTCATGAGCGTAGATGAAAAACTCTTTTCCAGGGCCACACGGCCAAAAACAGCGAGGAAACTTGAGGAAGATCTTCGTGTACACGATCACGTCGCATTTATGTATTGCTTCGGTTTTCCATCTCTGTCACAAGATTCAAAAGTTTCTAAGTTTTTTTATAAAGAAAATAGCAAAGATTAAGTATTGAATCGCCAAGGTCCATGAACTGCAAGCTCTCTAATGTTCTATACCTGATGAACTTCCAAAACAAAAGTCAAAACCCGAAAAACAGGTCTGAACCATGCCCGACGAGTATTGCAATCTGATCATATCTTTTCTACCAAACACTTGCTAGATCATGTCTTCCACAGGCAAATTTAGGATTTTTAAAGATATTTCACAATGCTAAACTAGGAATCTGATGCCTGATGTATATCTACCGCCTACTCTAAAGTGATAAAGCAGACAAAGAAAGGTTATAGTTATACACTATATAGACTGTGAATTCTGTGGATCAACCCGTGCAAACCCATTGAATTTGGTGTGTGGTTTGATATAAAGACAACTCGAAAATCTATGTCTGTTTTTCATTTAACTGCTGAGCTCCCAAATATTAAATTCCATATATAGAACTCATGAATTCTGACTTTCTAAACCTAATGCAATTTAATATTGTGGGCCTTAGGGTCTACAACAGGACGAAAAACTAATACTGGGGACACAATATTTCCCCAGATTCCGTTACATTAAATGATTAAAATCCCCCCTTTTGCGCAAGCAACAGTGTCACCCCGTGTATATTTTATGTTTAACTAGATATAGATAGTGCACTAAAGGTGTAATATATTTACAAAAGTGTTATGATTGTGATGATCTATAAAATGAAGATAGAGAAAGACTTACGGGTAAAGAGGGTTTGAAGGAAATAAGACTGCTTTGGAGAACACCAATACTAGCAGACACGACCAAGTAGTTGGCTTCGTACACGGAACCATCCTCTGTTTTCACCACTACCCCATTCCTCGAGTGTTGCACCTCCCTAACAACCTGCCATAAATTCATGCACGAAAAACGTCAGCTTAATCTCCTTGTTTTAGGGCGTGATCAAAGATTACTACTAATCACACAGAGATCTTTAATCACCCTACAAGTACAGCAGATTCCAAGATCAGCAAAAACAAATGCAACCCAGCTGGATTTTGTGGGAAACAATAAGGGCAATTAAACAATTAGCGTCATTATTGAAGAAGATCCTGCAAAGGCGGGGACAAAATTATCCATAAAAGGGAAAGTTCGTGGTAACGAGGTGAATTTGCGGCACTTCTGTGGTTAGCTGTCAAACATGTTCGATCTGATACTCCTGATAAATGAGACAGTCTTGGCAAAATCCCACTAAATGAAATGAAAGTGACAATTCTCTGCGAATAAGATTCACACACACACACACGCGAGATCATGAAATGAATATCCTTAGTGAGAGGACGGTTTGTGTAGCTGAGTTTCTGGGTTTCTTACAGTAACACTATTTACCCGAATCTAATCATTCAACACTCCTGAACGACATTATGGTCATTCTAAGTGTATACTGGTGAAGCTTTGTCCTACTACCAACAAGCAACACATCAAATGAGATACATCCCGAAATGCCGCAGAATCTTTCCCAACTTGTAAAAGATAAAAACGAACAAATGAGGACGAGAACACTTGCTTGGAAAAGACGTGAGCTTTTACGTGAAATCACAATATCAAGGAGGAGGCAATGAACTAAAACAAAGAGGGGGAAGGAGCTCGAGTGTTGAAAAAGAATGGCGAAAAGACATATGGTAGCCCCCAAAAATCAAGTAAAAATTTTATGTACGCCACATTAATCAAATTCCAATATAAACCCATATGCTGAAAGAATCTGGCCACAGTACAAGTGGAAAGCTTTAAAAAAAAAACGGTACAAAAAACTCAGATAACAGTTGACCGCATCAGACAGAAGAAAAGAAATGCAAATCAAATCAGACGGAATAGTTCTACAAACAAAACAATAAATGGAAATAAACAAAAGGCAAAAGTAGCTTTCCAAACTCCAAAAAGGAGAGAGAGGTCAATCAAACCACATCAATGTTAACAATGGAAAAGATAATTTTGTGCATGCAAACAAAAACAGAGCTTTCGATTTATAATATCGTTATTTGGGTAGTTATATTATATTTCTTTTCATCGGTATCTACCCACCATATTTGAAGTTCTCACGCAAATCTAAGATCAGGAAAAAATTTGAAGAAATGAGGAGATTAGGAAGGAGGTTGTAAGAAAGTAATTTACCTTGTCGAATTTGAGTCGGTTGTCCAATATTTTACCCTTACATGTATATAGAAATTCTTCAGCCATCTTATACAGCAAATGTTCGTAGCCTCTTTCATCAGCAACCAAAAATTCTCTTTCACCAAAGTCCACATACGTAGATATTGGCTCAACCTCTGAACCCAGAGAAACAGAAGAAGGAAATCAAACAATTAGCAAAACGAAAATCGAACCCAGAAAGATGAATATGATGCCGAAATCGTCTCCTCGGAAAATGGAATTTGAATTCCGAAGCAAAAACCAACAGGATTAACCCAGAATCACTGTGTTTCGTCTCACCTGCCATCTCAAAATCGTGTAGGATAAAATCAATGGCGAGTTCTATCGGCGTCTTCGGTGACCTGAACGAATCGAAAAAGGTATCACAGATGACTGATTCAATTCATGGGCATGGAAACAGGGAAACGGAGAGGGAGCACAGACGAGACGTACGGAGGTACTTCGATTGCTTTGCAGATTTCATCGTCATGGTTCGTCTCCAAGCTCTTCAGCTTCTGAATCGCCGAATCCACAGCCTTCTTATACGCGTCAGCAGCAAGTCCACTCGGGATGATTTTCCCACTGCAACTCAATTCGCATTCCATTGAACCAACTCGGTCAACTCATTCACCAAAAAAAATCAAAACGGAGATAAGAAAACGACAAAACCAATGGAAAAGCTCCGAAACCAGTGCACCGCCGTTTCCACTGGCCAAAAATTGAAATATCAGTTGCGGATTCTGGTAAAGGGATCAAACCTCCGATCATAGATATTGTAACGGGCATTGCTGTAATCGGAGAAGCATGTACGGAGATCAAATTGTGAAGCTAGTTCCCACACCGGATTCGGTTCTTTACCTCCGACGCCGGCGATCCAACCGGCGCCGAGCTCCACCGACACGCCTCCGAAGCTCTCCTTCCGAATCCTCCCGCCGATTCGGTCCGTCGCCTCTAGAATCAAAACATCTCGTACTCCGTTCTCCGCGAGCACCTTAGCCGCCGATATACCTTCACCAGAAAAAAATTAAAAAAAAAACTCCGTCAGCAAATAAATTATGGCAAATCCAGCGCTAAAACACCAGCGTCTCGATCGGTGTGTGTACGAACCAGAAATTCCAGCGCCGATGATAATGACGGAGGCCAAGGACGACGGCGTATCCATGAATGACATCAAGAGAGAGAGTTAGAGAGTTGCTTGATGGCATGGGGAGACGGATATAGCGGGAGGGAAGTTTATATAGGGGTGAAAATCTTCGTCTTGCTAAGACAGCGAACGGGCGCGTGGGGTTTATCGCGCGTAATTTACACGCGCTATAGCTTTGGCGAGGTGTCGACGGGGTTTTTATTCCAAGGATATTTTTGTAATTTGAGTTATAAGTCTCTAATCTCTATACTGAGAAGTTCTTGATAATATTTTTTTCTCGCATAATCACTCGATTGATGTGCGAAATTAATTATCAAGAAAGAAACAAACAAGAAATGCCAATGATATAAAAGTACCAAAAGGCATTTGCTTTATAATTTTGTAGTTTTTCTAAACGCAGAAAATGCACGTAATTATCAAATATATTCAGTTCGAATTATACTTTGCAAAAATCTAAAATAAAATGATGATTTTTTTTTACTGAAAGACCCTTCATGAAACCAACAAAATAAAATAAAAAAAATCTCAAACTTATATAATTATAACCAAAATAATCTTCACATCATAAATACTAACCATTTCTACTTAAAAAAACGGGGGGGGGGGGGGGGAATGTGAGCAAAATCTTCTTTTTGTGAGAAGAAAAAAATAAATAAAATCATTATCTTAAGGTTTGTTAATAACATTTTATTCAATTCCCAATTATTCGGAATTTTTTTTTAGGAAAAAAAAAGGTGGCAATAATTTGTTTTCCTTATTAATGCATCCTTCTATACGAGACGTACACTCAACTTACATATTAATATATTGATGTACAAATAAGACAAATTTGTCATTTTTACCTCAAATTGTTGGAGTACAGTGCATGGATTGGTGGAAACCATGTTTTATTCTTTATGAATAATAACATTTATTGCAAACAAAACTATCTTAATTTGTTGTTTTTTTTGGTAAAAGGATAACCCAAAATGGGTTCGAAATTCTACATAAAAGGAAAGGATAATATTTGTAGTGTGTATCAAAATCCAATTTGGATTATAATACATGCGATTGTAAAAGCAGATTGCAGAGAAGGTATATATATATATATCCTATATATATCGAATAATTATGAGAAATGTATTTGGTTATAATACTAGTTTTTGGCGAACACAAAATATCCCTTTATGAGAGGTGTTTTAAAGTGTGATTTTTATATCATAAGATCACAAAATATTTACATACGATCATTTCACATCATATCTGTATATATAAAAACGGAGAATCATGTTTTTTTTTTTATAATGGAAAGCAAATCACATAATTAAAACGACGATGATACTTATTTCGTAATTCGAGTGTTCGAAAGGTACGAGTTATCATTGGTAATACAATTTACATATCCAATCAAGTTTTCATTTTGTTCATACGAAATGATTAAGTTGATCACTCATAAATACATATAAATATATATATATATATATATATATATGCATCTTCAACTTTTAGTTTCTTCTAGATTACCAATGTATACAGAATCTCGCCACCTTTTTCATCGCCAAGATTGCGTATATACATACATACATATATATATAGTTGAAACCGTGGGAACAGCAGTAAATTTTGAAGTGCATTTTTGTCCGTATGGTTCTTTGATTCTAAGCAAAGCACCAACTGCTGGGTTTTTGACTCAAAGATGGATATGCTTATTTCCTGAGTGGTGCCCTTTGAAAAATACCAACACGCAGAGATCGTTTGTGTTAGAGAGAGAGAGAGAAAGAGAGAGAGAGAGAGAGAGAGAGAGAGAGAGAGAGAGAGAGAGAGAGATTCACCAAAGGTAGATTGCCTTTGAAGCAAAATAAATTACTGCACATTATATTAATATAACTGACCGAAAGCTAATGATACCCCAAATCTCATGCAATTCATATCCTTTGTAAATTACATTCTTCTTCCTCCTTGTAACAAATTTAAAGCAAAAAGTCTAGTGTGTGTGTGTATATATGTATGAAAAAGATAATTTACTGTATCAATAATAAAATGGGTAATTGAGAAATTGATAATAAAGCAGTAAATTTTCTCGATAATTCTGGAAATAAGTTCGCTAGACTTAAATTTTGTTAGTACCCAAAACTGCGGTCATTTGACGACGACAGAGATGTGGATATAATATATTTTTTTTCATAATTCATCGAGTATTTATTTCATTATATCTTTTTAAAAAATCAGAAAAGTGCTGGTGAATTTCTATCCCAACGTTTAGATTTGATTACCCAAATAAAAATATGTTTTATATATTTTTTTATCATTAGATTACCCAAATTTGAATTGATATGGATATAATATTATATACAAATATATATATGTATATTCATCATTTGTAGCGATATTTTCCATTAAATACATGTTTATCATCAAATAATATATATTTTTTCACCATGGCTTTTAAGAAATATATACACACACACACAATTTTCTGCCTACAAAGAATGGGAGAGATACAATGATTACACGAAGAATTGAAGGAAGGATATGAAGCTTCTCAATCATTTTGCATCATTAATCTATTAACCGACTTATTTTTCTTTTATTTATTTTAAAATTTACACCGAGCTCCCATGTAGAATGATGAGCTTTAATATCATTCAATCTTTTTTCGACATAAAATAAAATAATTACAAGATTTTTTTTTTCTTTTTCAACAAGTTAAATTGATCAAATTAACAGCATTCTTTAAATACCACACATAAATAACGGTTCGATATCAGTTACATATATAAGTTATATATCAAAGAAAAACATAAATGTTTACTTTAAAAACCCAAAGCATACTTTAAAAAAAATATATTTAAAAAAGTCGGAACAAAATACATGACCAATTTATTGGATAAGAAAATAGACTCGAAGTATATAAAAAAAAAGAAATAAAATAAAATAAAAAAGGGAAAATTCGGAAAGAACATCGAAACAGGGCCCTAGAAAGAGTTGACCGATGCAAGTTTCTATTTCAAAATCATTGGAAAATAGGAACGAGTGGGCGTTGGTCGAAATATAAACACATGTTACTTTACATTACGCGATAGTCGCAAGCAATCATGCTACTGTGATGTTCGTCCTTCATAAGGAGAATATCGCGTCCTATGATTTGTTACGTCGCAGGAGTGTCAGTTTGGACCCGAGGCCCGAAGCCCGGTCCGGCCCAACCCGAAAATTAGCGGATTTAGGATCTAAATTTTTTTGTCCGAAAAAAATCGGACTTTCGGATTGGGTTCAAATTGGACTTCGGGTTCGAATCGGGCCAGCCCAAAAACCTGATATTAAAAAAAATAAATAAATAAATTTTATAAAGGATTTATGTGGACCGACCCGACCCGAATTCGGTATATATAAGGTCGGGTTCTGGGCTTAACTACATAGACCCAAAAAAAATCGGATCGATCCGAGTCCGAATCCGAAACCTTCGGACCGAATGCGGACTCGGACCAGCCCGATTGACACCCCTATGTCGCATTGATGTTCTCCATTATCCCTTCAAAAAAGAATATATATATATATATGCAAGAATAAATTTAATTATTAATTTATTAAATAAATTGTTTGGCTTTGGCATTCATTCATGTGGGGGTTACAACGGTCAAGTTTCGAAGCTGAGCTCGTTGACTCATATCATATGCACCAAGTGCTTCGTTTCTCGTCAGTGTGTTCGGTGTGATTCTTTTCAAACCTCTTCCTCTCTGTTTCTTCTTCTTCTTCTTCTAAATTCCTTTCACATCACTTTCTCTCTCTTTTTTTTTTTGGTCGGTAGTTGTTTTTTTTTTCCATAAAGAATAAAGTGCGAGACCAACAATACGGTTTAAAAATCTAAATAAAAAGATGTGAGCTTTTGTTTGGTATGGATAATTCGTTTTAAAATATATAAAATAAAAAAAAATGAATCGGATCAATTAATATATAAAAGTTTTTCTACGGCTAACTTAATGGAATCCAAATGAATATAAAAATAATCGAAAAGATTAATGAATCACTAAAAGTAAAAAAAAAAAAACATTTTCGTAATGAAAACGGAATCTTAACCTAATTTGAATGAATAAAAAAACTTATATAAAAACTAAACGAACATAATTTTCTCGTAAGAAAAAATGAATAAAAAACAATACTAAATATATCATAAATCCGAGATGTAATCTGGCTAAGTAACCACAACGATTTAAAAGTACACGAAAGTTTTAAAATAATAACCCATAAATCTACATTAAATAGGGAATTACGTGAAACAGATATATAATTGTTACTTACCTAATTGATTACCTATTTCACGGCTCATTTTTTGTAGTGTTTTTTGAACTTGAAAACTTCAATGATCATATCTTTTTTATTGTGCATGGCAACTCCCTATCAAAACATAAAATGGCAAAAGCGTAAATAAAAAATCCGAAACAATCTTAAGACAAAGAAATAATTGGAAGTTATAACAAAGTTTAATTATATAACAATCTTTAGACAGAGAAATAATTGGAAGTTATAACAAAGTTTAATTATATAACTTTTTATAAAACCAATAACATGATTGTACAGTTGAGGACTCGCATCCTTGCCAATATACATAACAATGGAACAAAGAGGCTCTCTGGTTCTGTAAAATGTACTACAGGAAGTAGAGCTCATCATAAACCCATTACCTTCGCTTGAATCCCGAAAGCAAATGATTCGAATGATTCATCGACTCGCAGCATGATGGATCCGAGATCCTCCCGTTGTTGTCACGGAGAAAAGACGGCATGATGAACCGGAATCTTCGGTAATTGAGAAGAACTCGAAATTCTTCACATAGCCCTCAATACGATTCTTCTCTCAAAGCTGTTTCTTTGACGGTTTTCTCTGCTTCTGTTGCACCAAAATTCTTGCTATACTCCCCCTCCTGTCCGAGAAACATGGCGAAAATAGTTAGGTTTTCAAAGCAAGGTTATCCAGTTGATTCCTACCTCATGAAACCATATACTTAGACGATGTAATATTTAGATTGATAGATCCACTTTACTGAGTTGATGAAGACGATAGAATGGTTTAGTATCTACTAAATTTGTTCTTCCGAAGCTCCTACGTAGAAGTTTTGGTCGAACTCTGTTTTTCGAAACAACTGTTACACCGCTTATCCAACCATTTGCATGTTTCTTTGGGATCCCAGCTCGTTCATGACATAAGAAAGGTAAATTAGCACCAGCAAGAGGAGGATTTGAATTCATTTCTTACCAACAGTTGGCAATGGACGGCTTCCTCAAAAACCCTTCTACTTTCGATTTGTGAATTTCATCCAAGAGATATTGCCCGTTCACAAAGCGAGTCAGCAACCGATAAACCTCTTGTCAGAGTCTAAAAGCCAAGAGAACAAACAGAGGTTAAAAACATGAGCATATGATAGGATTTATGGCCGAAACCTTATTCGTATTTTGCAAGACACATACCTGAATTCCGTGCAGTGGCAATCATCAGTTTCTCTAGTTCTTGAACTGCATCCTCTAAGCCATGGTTAGCATAGATCTTGATCATGGTGGAAAAAGTTATTTTATCAGGGTTGCATTTTCTTTCCTCCATTTGCATAAACAGTTCCTTCATTGTAGCTAAATCACCAGCCTGACCATATGCGTTGATTATGCAATTGAAGAACGGTGTATCAAGTATCACGTCTGAATTCACAATCTGTCTTAAAACCGAATCAATCTTCAAAACAAGACCGGCTTTGCTGTAGCCATTGACAATAGAACAGTAAGTGATCGAGTTGGGTTTTATTCCCTGGTACTTCATTTTCCTGAACCATTTGTCCATTTCCTCAACTTCTCCAGCCTTTCCGAACGTCTCGATCATGATATTGTACGTGACAATATCCGGGGAAAAGAACCTTTTCTTCATGAAATCCATGACTGACCCCATCTTATTGTGCATTCCAGCCTTCCCATATGACAGTATCAGTATGTTAAATGTGGTGATGTCTGGCTGCACTCCCATCAACTGAAAACGATCGTACCATTTCTCCATCTTCTCAATCATCCCACCGTTTCCATATGCCCCGATGATCGAGTTAAACGTGAAAATATCCGGAAGAGAGTCTTCTTTCTCAATCATATCGATCAAAACGTTTCCCATTTCCTCAAACATTCCAGCCTTGCCATACCCATCAATTATGGTGTTATAAGTAACTGTGTTGCACACAATTCCAAGATAAGACATCTCAAGAAGAATACTTTTAATCAGATCAAACCGACCATGTCTGCAGCAACAGCTGATGAGTACTGTGAAGGTATACACATCTGGCTTGCAATCACAGATGGATTTCATATCTTCAAGGGTGGCAAATGCCTTATCAAGAAGTTTGCTTTTGCCGTAAACACCTATGAGAGATGTATATACATCAATGGTGGGTTTCAACCCTTCAGACAACATTACCTGGAAAAGCAAGCTTGCTTGCTCAGGTTGTCTACAGTTGCCAAGAACCTTAAACAACTTCGTGTATGTTCTGCATCTCGGTTCATACCAATGTTGCTTGCGAAGAAGTCGGAAAATCTACAGAACAAAGCAGAAATAGCTTCTTGCATTACAAGAGAATTTGTACATGATCACTTCAGCAAAACAAGAACCACACAGATTCGACGACAAGATACGAATCTCACTTCATAACATTTTGTGCAAACAACAAAATCCAAACGAATGATCAATTGGGTTTTTACTAATTTCTCTATAGTGAATTCATAAGAGTAAAGAAGCCAGAGAATTGGACCTTTAGAGCAGACTGCCATCGATTCTCTCTTACGGCCTCATCAAGAGCTTCAAGAACAGCTTTTGGCCACAGGGTGTTGTACTTGTCGGAGTTGGCTTTCTTCTCAATGCCCTTAATGGCTGCATCTGTTCTCAGAATCCGAGACAACTCCTTCTTAGATTCCACACGAGGACCCGTCGGAATCATGCCGGAGCTCCGTTTGAGACGTCGGAGCGAGGAGTCTTCTCCGGTAGGTTCTATCGGTAATTTCGTCGAACATGTCGTGGGCATGAAGGAATTGGAATGCGGTCGACTCACAACGGCAAGGGATAGTGGATGCTGATGCATCGCGCGGCCGCCGTAGAAAAGGCGCAGGTGATTATGATAAAGATTAGAACATGAAAGTTTCGATGTCAATTGAAATTATCATGAAATTAAACCGAGAATAGGAAGAATTAAGAACATGATTTCGAAAAAGAAAAAAAATCAAAGCTGAATCTCTTTCATCGTCTGTTCTTGATCGGACGCAACTCTGTTTGTCGTGGATGAGGAGTGGTGGTGAATGAGAGACTTCGGCTGTTTTTCTAGATTTGGCTCTTGTTCCTTTTTTTTTTGAATTAGCATATTCAAAAAAAAATTGAAATTAATATATACACACACACACACACCGTTGCATCCTCCTACTTTTTAAAAAAAACCCTTTTCTTCCTTCTTGTTTAGTTTTCATCCTCTTAATTAAACTTTTTTCTAATATATAAACCATTATTCTGCATTCAATTAGAAGAATAAACACGCAAAGACTAAAGACAGTTTCTATATTTATAAAAACGTTTTACGTAAAGAAGAAACAAAATAATAATTTTGTATAACCCCAACTGAACATAAAAATCTGGAAAATTATTTGGCAATTTGCTATTTTTATTTTTTTTTACAATTCCTTGAGGAAATGAAATCAAATCGACATCTAAACCAACTATTAGAAATGATTTGTATCGATGATTAAAAATAACAAAAGTTTTCTCCGTAACTAAGGTTTCCAACCAATATTATCTAATCCAGCATTTGAGGTTTTGGATCACCGAGTGCAAAATACAAATTATATCACAAACAGAAACATGTGAAGAAAAAAAAACACAAATTTATCCGACATTTTATATAACAAAGAGGACATATATTAGATATGGTCCGAATCCAGATGTCAACAAGAAGCTCCCAAGAAACAGGAACTAACATACGCGTACGACACAAAACAACAAGTCTCCATTATTCTAGAAATTATAGAGATAACATATATAGAAATATAAGCACGACATAAAGTTGTGGAGTTTTTGTCTCTGCTCACTCTGGCTTTCGGGCCAAGAAGAAGTGCATAGGTGTGAATATCTCCCTCCTGAAATAACAAAAAAAAAAAATAGAAAGTATCATATCAGTATCTAATATATGTATCAATTACGTAAAAAAATAAAAATAAAAAATACAAGTTGGTGCTTTTTAATTAAAGGGCGTAGTCCGGAGTTATTAATCGCGACTCTCTCTCTCACCTCCCTCCCTCGACCAATCCATCGACCATCGTTTCAAGCAAATCTATAATCCGTGCGCTTCCTTTCGGTGCGAGTCCTATGCTAAGATAACAGAAATATACAGAAAATTTCTCTCTCTAGCTCTTCTCTCTCTACAACAGTTTGCTCTCTCTTTCTCGGTGTTCGTTCTTTTCCGGCGATATCTGAAATGGTATCAGAGCAGTGAATTGCTCCCGCTTCAATTCAATTTCTTGTTCTTTTTCCGATTTGATCTCTTTCCGGATCAGAATCGTTGATTTTCTTCAATCAATCATGGATGAACATTACGAAGATCTTGAAGAATTTCCTGAGGTACCTGTTACCAGCACACCTTATCCCTTATCCACCTATGTTAGCTACCAGAAACTTTCACCACATTACCAAAAATATATCATGAACCTTAATCATGAAACAGAACCTCGACATTTCAAAGAAGCAATTACTTCACCTGATTGGCAGAATGCAATGAATGAAGAACTTTCAGCATTGATGCAGAACAATACATGGTCTATTGTTTCTCGGCCGCAAGATCACAAACCAATTGGGTGTAAATGGGTATACAAGATAAAAAGGAAACCGGATGGAACTGTTGACAGATACAAGGCAAGATTAGTTGCAAAAGGTTACACTCAGCAAGAAGGAGTAGATTATACCGATACATTCTCTCCAGTTGCTAAATTGGTAACTGTTAAAGTGCTCTTAGCGTTGGCTGCTTCTCAGAACTGGTCTTTGTCTCAAATGGACGTCTCAAATGCTTTCTTACATGGAGACTTGGATGAGAACATATACATGAGTCTGCCGCCAGGTTTTACGCCACAGGAAGGAGTTGTTTTGCCTAAGAATGCTGTCTGTAAACTGCAAAAATCACTATATGGGTTAAAACAAGCTTCAAGGCAATGGTACCAGAAATTTTCTTCTGTTCTCTTGACAGCAGGGTATCGACAATCACAAACAGACCATTCATTGTTTGTGATGAAGCAAGGTGATTCATTTGTAGCTTTACTTGTATATGTAGATGATATTGTTATAAGGCAAAGGCCATTATGTACACATTGTGGTCTTTATGGACACATGGTACAAAAATGCTACAAACTACACGGCTATCCACCAGGATATAAACAGTCAGCTCCAGTTGCAGAACCACGAGCTTTAGCACCTCGTTCTGCTTACTCACAACAATATCCCAGGCCATACACTCCTTATCTAGCTTCAGGACCTCGTCCACAATATTCCAAGCCTGTTGTAGCATCAGTTCAAACTGTATCCATTCCAGATGCCAACATTACTCAGCTCCCATCAATTTCAGAATTGTCCGCAGATCAAATGCGAGATTTGTATGCACAGTTGTCTGACAAGATGGCATTTGTAAATGCCACAATAACTGCTGGAGGTGCAATAGAAGCATCACCATCTTCAACTGGTATGGATTCTGCCTATCTCTGCTCTAGTTTGATACAAGCTAGTTCCATTAATGCTGATACTTGGATTATTGATTCTGGAGCCTCAACACATGTTTGTGCGAATCGTGATTTGTTTTCTGATCTTCGTGTTGTGTCTCCTGTCATGGTAACTTTACCTAACAAGCATCACATCACAATAACTCATGCTGGAACAGTCATCATAAACCCTTTTCTTACCCTTTATAACGTCTTGTTTGTTCCCATTTTTGCCTTTAACCTTCTCAGTGTTTCTGCATTACTTAAGCAGAACTCTGTTTCTGTAACTTTCTCCTCTGATTCATGCTTGATTCAGGTGCCTACTCTGGATTGGATGATTGGGAAAGCTGATCTTCAGCAGAACCTCTACATCCTTGATCCTACATTCTCACCGGCACCACCACCCAAAACACCAGAAAAAGTACAGATCTGTAATGCACTCATTGCAGACACAAATATATGGCACCAAAGACTGGGCCACCCTTCCATCTCCAGAATAAAGACTCTTTCTTCAGCCATTTCACTCGCCAAATGTGCAGACTTGACCCACTGTCAGACTTGTCATTTGGCCAAACAAAGACGTTTATCATTTCCTTTCAATAATCATGTATCTGCAAACCCATTTGATCTCATTCATGTAGACATTTGGGGTCCATTTTCAACTGTTTCTGTTGATGGATGTAGATACTTTCTTACAATTGTTGATGACTGTTCTCGAGCTACTTGGGTTTATTTTCTCAATAATAAGAATGATGTGTTGCATTTGTTTCCTTCATTTGTTGCCATGATAGAGACCCAATACAGATCTAGAATAAAAAGCATTCGTTCAGACAATGCAAACGAACTGAAATTTCCAGATTTATGTCGAGAGAAAGGTATCATACATCAGTTCTCATGTGCTTATACCCCAGAACAGAATTCAGTGGTAGAAAGAAAACATCAACATGTGTTGAATGTCGCACGAGCTCTACTCTTTCAGTCAAAGTTACCATTGGCGTATTGGACAGAGTGTGTGAGAGTTGCTGTGTATCTGATAAATAGGATACCTTCTTCCTTGCTTAATCAGAAATCTCCTTATGAAGTGTTGAATGGTAAAGAACCAGTATACTCTCATCTGCGTGTTTTTGGCTGTCTATGCTACAGCTCCACTATTCAGAAAGACAGAACAAAGTTTTCACCACGAGCAAGACCTTCAGTCTTTATTGGATATCCACCAGGTGTCAAAGGCTACAAGCTGCTAGATCCTGAGACATTTGAGGTATTTGTTTCTAGAAATGTCGAGTTTCATGAAACCATTTTCCCTTTTCACTCTTCTCCCAACCATGTTCATGAACCTGATGATATATTTCCCAGAACTATTATGCCCTTACCTATTTCAGAACCTGTTCACCCAGACATATTGCCTTCCCTATCTATTCCTGATCCTCAATCTAACTCAACACCAACTTCTGAACCAATTCCTGCTAGACCAAAACGTACAACCAGACCACCTACTCATCTATCTGACTACCAATGTTATGCTACTCAGCATAATGTAGTAAATCCTTATTCTACCACACCTTATCCCTTATCCACCTATGTTAGCTACCAGAAACTTTCACCACATTACCAAAAATATATCATGAACCTTAATCATGAAACAGAACCTCGACATTTCAAAGAAGCAATTACTTCACCTGATTGGCAGAATGCAATGAATGAAGAACTTTCAGCATTGATGCAGAACAATACATGGTCTATTGTTTCTCGGCCGCAAGATCACAAACCAATTGGGTGTAAATGGGTATACAAGATAAAAAGGAAACCGGATGGAACTGTTGACAGATACAAGGCAAGATTAGTTGCAAAAGGTTACACTCAGCAAGAAGGAGTAGATTATACCGATACATTCTCTCCAGTTGCTAAATTGGTAACTGTTAAAGTGCTCTTAGCGTTGGCTGCTTCTCAGAACTGGTCTTTGTCTCAAATGGACGTCTCAAATGCTTTCTTACATGGAGACTTGGATGAGAACATATACATGAGTCTGCCGCCAGGTTTTACGCCACAGGAAGGAGTTGTTTTGCCTAAGAATGCTGTCTGTAAACTGCAAAAATCACTATATGGGTTAAAACAAGCTTCAAGGCAATGGTACCAGAAATTTTCTTCTGTTCTCTTGACAGCAGGGTATCGACAATCACAAACAGACCATTCATTGTTTGTGATGAAGCAAGGTGATTCATTTGTAGCTTTACTTGTATATGTAGATGATATTGTTATTGCCAGCAATAACAATACAGCTGTTGATGAGTTAAAAGGCTTGTTGAAGAGGAATTTCAACATTAAAGATCTCGGACCTCTTCGTTTCTTCCTGGGCTTAGAGATCGCAAGAACAGCAGAAGGTATATCAATCTGTCAGCGCAAATATTGTCTGGATTTGCTATCAGAAACTGGATTATCTGGTTGTAAACCTGTTTCAGTTCCAATGGATCCGAATGTTCATCTTAGCAAGGATACAGGTCAGCCTATATCAGATTTATCTCCCTATCGAGCTTTGGTGGGAAAGTTGCTGTACTTGACAATCACCAGACCAGATATTAGCTTTCCTGTCCACAAGTTAAGTCAATTCTTATCAGCTCCAACAGATGAACATTTGAAGGCTGCACACAGAGTTATAAGATATCTCAAGAACAATCCTGGGCAAGGGTTGTTTTACTCGTCAAAATCTGATCTGAAACTCCAGGCGTTTGCGGATGCAGATTGGGGTACATGTCCAGACACGAGAAGATCTGTTACTGGGTATTTGGTTTTTCTTGGAGAATCTCTCGTATCATGGAAATCCAAAAAGCAGAACACGATTTCAAGGAGCAGTACAGAGGCAGAGTACCGAGCATTAGCAAATGCAACCTGTGAGATTGTTTGGATGACAAATCTGTTGAAAGAGCTTCATATTCCCGTTACATTGCCGGTGAACTTGTTTTGTGACAACAAATCGGCTCTGTACCTTGCATCAAATGCTGCGTTTCATGAACGGACAAAACATATAGAGTTAGATTGCCACTTGGTTCGAGACAAGCTAAGGCAAGGTCTGATCAACACTATGCATGTTAAGTCCGAGAAGCAACTGGCAGATTTTCTCACAAAGTCCTTGCAACCAGCTCTGTTTCATTCAATGATGCAAAGATTACAGGTTTCAAGTCTATTTCTTCCTCCTAAGGAATCATAGACTTGAGGGGGGTATATCAGTATATATAATACATATACATGTAAACCTGTAGATGAAACAGAGGGTTTGTATTTCAAACAGAGTATATAAGCTCTAAGTACTGTACAAACTAAGATAACAGAAATATACAGAAAATTTCTCTCTCTAGCTCTTCTCTCTCTACAACAGTTTGCTCTCTCTTTCTCGGTGTTCGTTCTTTTCCGGCGATATCTGAAAATATATGATCAAGGTTTAAAATGGGATTAACAAAAACCGAAATTAATCATAGATTAAGGTGTCATACAAAAGAGAAGACTTCACCATAAATTTGACGATCCATCGTCCAAAAGGTGTTGCTCTGAATTCTGTAGCCGAAAAACGAGTTTTTCCCAAAATTAAATACCATGGTACGGGTGAGTCCTTGGCAACGTCTTTCTCACGTATCACCTTCATCCACATAGGGAAAATATTACCCTCTCATTAATTTCATTTAAAACATTATCTTATATTTCGCTAATGAAGATTAATGGTAGGACTTGCTTGGAAACCAGCTCGCTTGAGAGCTTCGATGCACTTAGAAGAAGGCCTCAAGTCTTGAATGCCGGCACCCATCTCTATCTTCGCCTATACAAAATGTCGATTGTTGAGAAGAAAGATGAAAAAGAAAAATGAATTGTCACTGAAAAGAAACCTTTATCTGCTGATGTTCGGCGTTATTCGGATCGAACGCATCGGTCATGCACCATTCATAGACTGCGAAGCATTGGCCCGGCTTCAACACTCTGAAGATCTCTTTGTAGCATCCGTACTTATTACAGAACAAAACTTAAGTTAGAGACACAACAAGATCAGGACAAAAAGAGAAGTGATTAACAAAAAAAACCGATCTTGAAAATACATATGTATATATCCATATACTGCATCGGGTGCGTGTGGCATGTCGCTTCTATTGCGTAAGCCGCATCGAAACTGTTGTCTGAAAACGGCATGTCCATGAAGTTTCCCTGAAGAAAAAAACTCACAGTAAACAATCTTCAGTTTCCATCATAATATAATGCAATGCATACACATCATTCGATTTGCGCATTTTCTTTGAATGCGGCTTTCGTAAGGAGTATACGAAACGGATCGAAAGCATTACGAGATCACATTAATGATTACGGAAAGTGGCATATGCTAAAAGCTTAATGTAAGCCGATTCAACACATAGTTTAAATAAAATCTTCAATTGAATCGCATTCCAGAACCATATGCTGTGTATACTTCGTTCGAAAGATTACAGAAGTCAACTATACTTGTATGTATATATATATATATATATATATATCAAGAGAGAAATATTAATTAATTCCTTTTTTTGAAACTAAGCCTCTGCAGAAAATGAATGAGGTTGCCGACGGCATTTATAGCAGCAGAAGATGTGCATGCAGAACGTATTTCCTTTTTTAATTACCAAAAAATAATTGAGTTTATTATTTAGTATAAACAAATTTATTCTCGTTTATTATATTTTTAGATATATATTATATTATATTCACGCAAAAAACGAGACTTCCCCCCGATCTATTTTTTTTTTCAGTTTTAAATTAGGAAACCTTACTTTACACGCCTTGTGTGGTCAACGAAATAGTACAATAATATTTATATAATAAACAAACTATGTATTAGATGTCACACTCTAGGCACAATATTCAAGTCAACTCTACAAATATAACTCAATTTCTTGCCTTGCTCAGTAATCCAAATATAGGGTCTCCATTTAAAATATTGGCCGAATGCCTTATGATTTCAATAAATGCTGTTTTGTATATTTTTATAAAATTTTAAAAGAAAAATTATAAAAAAATAGATTTGAAAAAAAACGGAAAATACTAAGAAATGAAAAATGAAAAATGTTTAAAATTATCATTTTTCAAAAACAAATTGTCTATCACTAGAAAATATAAATAAAAAAAACCTATAAAACACCAAAAGGATGAGTGAGATATTAATATATGAAAATTCTAGTTTAAAATTTGTTCATGTTGTTAGCGAACATGAACCAGATGAAGAACCTACCGAAAGAGATAAAGTAGTTGAACATGGAAACGAGGATAGTGTGGACCGGCTGGTTAGGAGAAATATCAAAAACCATATAATAGCATGCATGGAAACATCATAGAACTCTCACAATCTACAATGGAGAACTCAAGCAAAAGGTCATCAATACCCACAATACATTTTCTAACAAATCCGATCGTACACAATAAATTACTAACGAATATACATTGATTTCGATCCATCAAGTGTAGGTTAAGCAACAAAGTAGCGGTCATAACGGGAGGAGCGAGAGGAATCGGCGCGGCTACGGCTAAACTGTTCGCAGAGAATGGTGCGTATGTTGTGGTGGCTGATATTTTGGACGAAGAAGGAAAACAAGTGGCTGAATCTATAGGCGGAATGTACGTGCATTGCGATGTTTCGAGAGAAGAGGATGTGGAAATGGCGGTACAGGTGGCTATGGCGAGGAAGAACAAGTTAGACGTGATGTTCAACAATGCCGGGATAGCGATTTACGAAGGTAGTATTACCGATATCGATGTGGATAAGGTGAATCATCTCGTCTCTGTTAATGTGAACGGCGTTTTGCACGGCGTGAAACATGCTGCCAAGGCCATGATCAAAGGTATGTACGTGTGTTATACGTTAAAAGGGATGGTTCGAACTCCAGCTTTAGAATACTAATTGATCATGAGATACGATACATATAACGGTGGTGAAATACGAACTGAACCGGTTTATAGGAGAATTCCGGTTTCTACGCATTTGAATCTACACGAACATGCCTCGAGATTATGAATTAAATCCATGCAATGTAACCTTTTTGTGTTTTGAAAGGAGGAGGAGGTGGGTCCATAATATGTACATCAAGCTCGGCAGGTGAAATGGGAGGCTTAGGAGGGCACGCGTATACGTTGTCGAAAGGGGCCATCAATGGGCTCGTGAGAAGCACTGCCTGCGAGCTGGGCTCGTACGGGATACGAGTGAACTCCATATCTCCACACGGCGTCCCGACCGAGATTCTCGTAAAAGCGTACCGCAAGTTCCTCGGACACGAAGTGGACGCGACGGAAGTTGGTCGGATCGTGGCGGAGAAAGGGAGCCTGTTGCACGGACGATGGGGGACGGTGGAAGACGTGGCTAATGCTGCTTTGTTCCTCGCGAGTGATCGCGAGTCGGGTTTTGTCACTGGACACAACTTGGTCATCGATGGCGGTTATACTTCCGCTACTAATGCATGCCAATTCATTTACCAGTAGTTTTTTTTCTCTTTAAATAACGAAATCAAACATGCAGCGCTCGAGGAAAATCTAGTGTTTCTTTTGAAAGTTAATGCAATTGTATCGGTCCGAAAATTGCAAAGAAAAGCACTGCACGATCGATTATATTTGTTTTGACATATATAATTTAATAAACGCATTAATACATAAATTGATTATACCTTAATTTGCTTTACACATTCACGTTTTGTTTTGATAGATGCGTTTAGCCCAAACACTTCTCCCAAGCTGCAAAGATTTTTTTTTTTTTTTTTTTTTTTGCAATTTGAGATAATTGGAAATAGAATCGAAGAAATTTACTGTGTTATTTCAATTGATTCAACAAATAAACCCAATGACAAAACGCAGATCAAGTTAAACCGGACTGAACCGGATATAATTCTGCGGGACGAAACTGTGTTTGACCGGATCTTTGGAGTTTCTAACAGGTGTGAATATTCATGTATGCATTATGCCTCGTCATGTGTCAAAAAGACAAAAGACATGAAGTATAAACACGTCAACTACTCTTGAGTTTGAGCCATGTAGTTATTTGTCTCCTCAAGTAAATGTGTTCCAAATTAAATATCGCTCATCTTAATTTTTTTCCTTGGGGGGTATTTTCACTTGTACGTATTTATTCTTCATCGTTTGTTAAAAAACAATTGTATCATTAGTTTCAAAGAACACAAAAACCACCAATATATATATATATATATATATATATATACTAAGCCTCTGCAGAAAATGAATGAGGTTGCCGACGGCATTTATAGCAGCAGAAGATGTGCATGCAGAACGTATTTCCTTTTTTAATTACCAAAAAATAATTGAGTTTATTATTTAGTATAAACAAATTTATTCTCGTTTATTATATTTTTAGATATATATTATATTATATTCACGCAAAAAACGAGACTTCCCCCCGATCTATTTTTTTTTTCAGTTTTAAATTAGGAAACCTTACTTTACACGCCTTGTGTGGTCAACGAAATAGTACAATAATATTTATATAATAAACAAACTATGTATTAGATGTCACACTCTAGGCACAATATTCAAGTCAACTCTACAAATATAACTCAATTTCTTGCCTTGCTCAGTAATCCAAATATAGGGTCTCCATTTAAAATATTGGCCGAATGCCTTATGATTTCAATAAATGCTGTTTTGTATATTTTTATAAAATTTTAAAAGAAAAATTATAAAAAAATAGATTTGAGTTTCTTACGTGGCAACATCTGATTGGACACACCAACCCCTCGCCTCCGATGAGCTATCGTCTTAAAACCCTCTCCTCTGCGCCTGAAGCCGTCAGCAAGAAGCACAAAGCTCTCAGCTTCCGTAATAAAAAAAATATTACTAATATCCCAATATTATTATTATTGTTATAATAATAAATATTATTCTTTATTAATTTTAAAAAAGTGCGAATCGAGCCCTAAAAATTCAATCTCGATTTTTTTCCCATAGAGCCGGGGGGAAAAAAAAATCGATTGGGGGTGTGTGTGTGTTTGTGTATATGGCCTTTCACGTAGCTTGCCCAATTACATGGTATTTATCTTCGTCGAAGCTCTCTTTGTTTCACTCTCTCTTTCTCTCTCGCTTTCGTCTTCGTCGTCGCCGATTAGGTTTTGTGGTTTCTTTCTTGCAGTCGTCGGATCTGCTTTTGCTCCCTAGGGTTTTCTCGGGATCTCCGTGGGGTCAATGCGACGGATGAGTTCTTGAAGGAGGTCGATCGGGTTCAGGAGCTTTTGAAGGATCCATGGGGTGATTCTAGGGTTTCCAGGGAAGGGACGGTTCAGGTTAGGGTTCCTAAGGTTGTTCCTGCTCCGCAGCCTGTATCTGCAGCGTCCGTGTTGGGGGTTGGTGATGTCGATGGAGGAGGAGGGGGTGATGAAGCGGCTGCGGCGATGGAGGAGGCTTCGGCACAGAAGAAGCGAGTGGCTCTTCAGAGACAGGCCGCTGTTGCGGTGGAAGCGGCTGAGGATTACGCTCGGAGGTTTGAATCCGGTGTCACTCCGGTGAGAGTTTCGCTTTTTGTTTTGGACCTACGTATGCCGAATTGTGGAATTGCCTTGTGTTTTTTTCGAGAATTGTATGGCATTTGTTTACCAAATGGGGTTTTTTGTTCTTTGTACAAGGTTTCATGGAAAGATCAAGCTGGGGAAGAGCTTGGTCAGTCGAACGCGAATGTAATGTGTAGAATGTGCTTCTCGGGTGAGAACGAAGGAAGTGAGAGGGCAAGGAGGATGCTTTCTTGCAAAAGCTGTGGCAAGAAGTACCACAGGAATTGTTTGAAGTCTTGGGCTCAACATAGAGGTACTTCATTAAAATTGCATTTTCAGCTGATAGGTTCAGTATCCTTAATGTTGTAATTTGCAGATTTGTTCCATTGGAGTTCGTGGACTTGTCCCTCGTGTCGAGTTTGTGAGGTCAGTGAAGCTTCTCGCTACTTTCTCATTTTAGGTATTGTGTAAATTTGTTACACCTGGACTGCCATATGAGTTACCAATCTTTATGAAGCGACTAAATTGCCAGAGGCTTTCAGTGTATTTTGCCACAAAGTTTTAAGCTTGTGTTCAAGCAAATAGTTGTCTTTAGCTATGGAGACTGCAATGTAGGATACAACTTTTTTGTGCCGGCCTGAGTGTCGTTAACTTTTTCAACATGCCTTACTGAGTGTTTTTCTTTTCTGTTTTAGGTCTGCCGTAGAACAGGAGATCCTAGTAAGTTCATGTTCTGCAAGAGGTGTGATGCAGCTTATCATTGTTATTGCCAACATCCTCCGCACAAGGTGTGTTACATAGTTGTTTGTTTATTAGATCCTCATCTCTGCATAGTGCGTACATAAAATAAAATGGCTTATTTCAATTTTTATGCTGAGCAGAATGTTAGTTCTGGCCCATATCTATGCCCAAAGCATACAAGATGTCACAGCTGTGGATCAACTGTCCCTGGAAATGGCCTAAGTGTGAGGTATACACTATACACTCTTACTCTTTACCTGAATAGATTAGCTTTATAAGGGTGTAGAAAACTGTACGCTGTTTGTTGTGATAAACAATTGCAGATGTAATCGTGCAATTTCGTTGATGTTTACTTCTTGTCGCGTCTGCACTCACCTTCCATATTGATATGTTTTCTAAATATTTTACAGGTGGTTTTTGTCATATACTTGCTGCGATGCTTGTGGAAGGCTGTTTGTCAAGGGAAATTATTGCCCTGTATGCTTGAAGGTATTGTTAACTTTCAGTAAAATGAATGCTTTCGCACTTTTTGTAACTTGTCATTAGATCTGGACAATGTCCATAAGCATATGATTTCTGGTATATACTTTTATTTTTTTTCACGAGTTTTCCGGTATATTTGCACATCTTTCTTTTTTTTCATTAACCAGTTTGCAAATTCTATGTAGGTGTATAGGGACTCTGAATCAACTCCGATGGTTTGCTGCGATATTTGTCAACGCTGGGTGCATTGCCAATGCGACGGAATAAGGTTCTCCACCACTACCGTAAACTAGCAGATCTAATTTCCTTATCTGGTTTACATTTGAGAACATCGCTAGAATAAGATACTTCATTGCTTTATTACTAGAGATATTCTTCCATAAAAGAATACCCACGCTTTAATATGCATTTAAAAAAATATCACAAATACTCTCATCTGTTCATCTGGAAACGCTTTTATCTTCATGTTGTGGAAAGTGTTTTTTTTTTGTCAAAAAATGCTTACTTGATACGTTATACCAAGTCTGAAATTGTTTGAATCTGGAAATTATCTTGCAGTGATGAGAAATATATGCAGTTTCAAGTAGATGGAAACCTTCAGTATAAATGTACCACATGCCGGGGAGAGTGTTACCAGGTATTGTGCATGTTCCCATGCTTCATTTATGCCGTCATTTCTCTCCTTGTTTTTCATCTTCCAGTTAAACCCAGAAAGCTGGGCCTTAGGGTGGAGGAGCCGAGGAGGGTGAATATTGCAATTGGGTGGTGCAAATAAGACCAATCCTTAAAATATATATTGTGGTTCTCAGGTTAAGGATCTTCAGGATGCTGTTCGTGAACTTTGGAAGAGAAAAGATGTGGCGGACAAAGAGCTAGTTGCTAGCTTGAGGGCTGCTGCTGGTTTGCCAACAGAGGAAGACATATTTTCTATTTCTCCTTTTTCAGATGATGAAGAAAATGGTCCTGTGTCTGGACGTTCTCTGAAGTTCTCTGTGAAAGGTTTAGTTGACAAGTCACCTAAGAAGAGCAAAGAGCACGGGAAGAACTCTTCAAACAAAAAGCATGTTCGTAAAAAGGGTCACCTCAGTAAGTTAGAACCCCAACAGGATTCTGAACTTTATCATAATATGGAATCTGAGAGATATGGTGTGGGTGTCAATAAAAAGGAGGACATGGAATTTCCAAAAAATGAAGGATCTGATATTTCTTCTCGTGTTGCTGGAATTTGTTCGACACATGAGCCTAAGACGGTGAAACACAAGTTGGTCAATGATGTTATGGTAACCGAAGAGGATAGGCCGTCAAGGATAGTCAAGATAAAGTGTAGTAAGCCTCAGGATTCTGACAGTGAGGATGCCCAAAAGAGTGCGGGTAAGGTAAACTCTGTAAAGGCGAAAAAGTTGGTCATAAGTCTGGGTGCAAGGAAAATAAACATCAGCTCCAATTCTTCAAAATCTAGTGCACCCTTTCTTCCGACTGATCAAGATCAGTCTTCTTCTGGCGGTATGTTATGAACCGAATTTTAGCACAGCTCTCATATAAAATGCAAGATGCCTTTTCATGGATACCATTTTTAAACCATCATGTGTTGATCGCTATGTGAATGTATTGTATAATTTGTGCCTTATAAACTCGGCTAGTAACTCCTTTTGGAACTTGTTTAGAGGAGAAAAAAAGGAATATGGATCTGATGATACTTTACACATTCAGGTGGTGAAGATTTACAGGAAAGTAAGGCTGAGAAGCCCTTGTTTGGCGCCACTGCTAAAAAAGGTGACTGTAATATATTTGTTTATAGTTGATTTGGTCAGATATGTTGGTTTATGCAGGAATATTACCAATGGGGAATACATGTTTACTTAGCTTGCTAATGATAGGATTATTTTTTGGAAATTTCTGCACTCTGCAGCGGATAGATTTGATCAGCCAGGTGAAGTGAGAAGCTTGAGGATTTCTGGAAGATTCGGGAAAACTCAATCCGAAGAAACTGTTCCTCCTGAACAGAAACACAATTCGGTTGGCAGACCCAGCGAAGGAAGTAAAGCTACATTCGGGTCAATCACCCAATTTCCTACATCAACGAGCAAAGACAATCACGAAGAAGATAAAGCAACTGCCTCAGATTCTGTGCAGAAAGAAGCAAGACCTTTGCTCAAATTTAAGCTTAGAAAACCTAATCCAGACGGTCAGATGACATCTCAGATTCCTCATTCTGAGGATGAAAAGCTAAGTTCTGCAAAGGGCCAAAGATCAAAGAGAAAGAGACCTTCGCCATTAATGGATAAGTACACTTTGAAGGAAAATGAAGATGCTTCCCATTCTCATCTGGAAAGTCCGAGTGACGAGATGATGGATGCTAATTGGATTTTGAAGAAGTTGGGCAAGGATTCAATCGGGAAGAGAGTAGAAATCCATCAAGGATCTGATAATTCATGGTGAGCCAGTCTTGCTCTCTCTCTCTCTCTCTCTCTCTCTCTCTCTCTCTCTCTCTCTCTCTCTCTCTCTCTTACTGTTCTTCGAGGGTAAGAGCTCAAAAGGGTGCCTGAAAATTTCGAAGCTGAGACTCCATTTTCATAAATGTTGCAGGCGAAAGGGAACGGTGACGGATGTTATGGGAGAAAAGTCATCGACATTATCGGTTTCTTTAGATGATGGAAGTGTAAAGACGTTGGAGCTGGGGAAACACAGCGTCCGGTTCGTACCTCAGAAGCAGAAGAGGTCGAGGAGTTGTGGAACATCTTTGTTGCCTCTCTTGTTGAAACTCTAAACGAGAACTGTTTCAAGAAATGGCATGAATATCAAGAAAACCAAATTGATAGATAAATTTTATTGAAAGGAAATTCAAAGTCATATTTTGCATGAGCCATTTTTATTCACACCCACGAAGCGATCCAGAAGGTTACCTAAGAGGATATATATATATATATATGAAACTATATCTTACATCCATCAAATTTTGCAAATATATTTGGAAAAACATAGATCATGAAAACAATATGCAAAACAACACGTATATGAATGCACGTATCATGTATGTATGGATATTACTTTTGTATAAAATAGTTACGTTAGTTTAATACAAACCCTAAAACCTTAAACCCTGTATCTTTTTTTTTTCCCAACAAAGCATGAAAAAATAATCCTTCATACTTTTTTTTTTCCTTTCCTCCTAATATCGAAGAACTTGATTACACGATTTCTCTAAACCGAAACTCCATAAAACACATCATAATTACTAAAACTTGAGAACTACGTATCGATATTGCATATATACAAAGTACTAATTAACTGCCATATAATTTTTTAAAATTAAAAAAAAAAAGGTGAAAGGGATATATAATAAATCTTGTGGATATTGGATTCTAAGTGCAACTAGGAAAGACTTCTCCTCGAGTGTTCAAATTGACATTTGAGCACGAAGCTTTTGAGATTTCTTCACTTTGGCCCCTCAATTTAACATTTTGCATGGAAACACCCCTGCAAGGAATGCTCTTACTGCAATCGAATTTCACAGCCGTGGGGGTAGAACTTGTCCCTTGTATGTTTCTGTACACCACATTGCTCACTTGAACCGCCGATGTCTGCAAATCGATGTTTTTGAAGGATCCATGGGGTGATTCTAGGGTTTCCAGGGAAGGGACGGTTCAGGTTAGGGTTCCTAAGGTTGTTCCTGCTCCGCAGCCTGTATCTGCAGCGTCCGTGTTGGGGGTTGGTGATGTCGATGGAGGAGGAGGGGGGGATGAAGCGGCTGCGGCGCTGGG